GTTTCACTTTTCACTCGACTTCCATAACCCGGTATTTTTTCTTTGCCTTCTTCGTCTAACCGTAATTAGTATATTATTTTATGTATTCTAATAACAAGTATGAACTGGTCCATACACTACTCACCAACAGTCTAGAGAATTAATAATTGAACCATAAACCACTAACTTTTTCCGCTCAATGTCGAGTCCAATTAAAAAATATATATATATATATATGGTGGCTTCTATGGTACCCCGGGTGAAATCCGGGGTACCGCATACCTCGAGTATGGAAACTCTATCTAGACCTTGAATTACCAGGATTTTTGTGTCTGATATTATACCCTTACCCTTAATGAGTGAACCGTAGGTCATAATTATCTAAATCATAATCTATAAACCCTAAGATGGTGCATTCCTTTTTGTGCCTATATTTGGATGAATCATAACCGTCGATTATTGTTTCTAATTAAATTTATCTTTGAGTATAAGATTGGGAGAGTTAACACCTAGATTTTGATCTTTAAGTGTTAGAGTATAGTATCATGTCCGAAAGATCGGTCAATTCAAGGTTTAGATAATGTTTTCATACTCAAGGTATGCGGTACCCCATATTTCACCCAAGGTACCGTAGAACTCGCCATATATATATATATATATATATATATATATATATATATATATATATATAGTTATTAATTATTATAGAGTCATCATTTTTCATTATGGGATTTGAAGGGGTGAAATTTTAAGCGAGTTCCAGTTTGTATTCCTTTTGCTTTTGTCTAGAGTTTTTCTTATTCACCCGGGCTAGTTCAACAATTATACATGGAATGTTTGGTTAGGTATCTACACATATCAAATAAATAGTTTCCATTTTTAATAAAATAAATAAATAATTATCATCTTAAATACATCACCATAAAAAGAATTAAGTCTCAGCCATGCAAATTACAGTTCGGTACCTAAACTTAATAGATATTTAGATTTATAACTTAAATTTTTTTTTGGCATATAAGTTCTCAAAATATTGGTGGAACATTACATTTTAGTACCTAAAATTTTTGTGTATTACATTTTTGTATCTAAACTTTAAAAGTTCTACAAATAGATCTAATTTTTGTATGTGTAATTAAAACACTCTCGAATAAATGGGTATTCATAACCAACTTATACATATTTAGATTACAGAAGTAAATATCCATATCCTACACAAACCCATCTACAAACTTCCAAATCCATCTTTGCTTCACCCATACCCTATCCATAATCAATGGCTCTACTTGGGTTTAGGTTATTAGCCAAAATTTTCAAAAAAATTTAAATTGAGTGTTGACCGCAATATATCTCTTCTCAGTCAATATGATATTGTCAAGTCAATATTACTAACAAAACGGATGACAAAAAATTAATCTTAGGCTAATAATAATAATAATAACAAAACACCCTAACGAGCCACATAATACATGCCCATAGGTCATCTCCGCCTGCGATAAGGTGCGGGATCGCCACCTAGTATAGTTTCTTAAAGCAACAATCTTCTCTTGATTTGAAAGATTATTTTTCCTTTGATTTAGGAGATCATGCAATCCTACTTTAACAACAATGGCAAGTAAGATAAATCAAAGATATTTAACCGAGGGAGTTACCTTTTGACGGATGGGAGCATAAATGGAAAGCATTTATATTTTTGGATTAATACTTTATTTTGGGCAGAACTATACCCAGACATTTTACTTGGCCGTGGTTTATGAAATTGCTCCCGTGGCTTGAACTATGCACCATACTTCCTTGCTTGGCCCGATGCAGGTTTTGATCATTAAATTGAATGGTCAACTCTATTGACAATAAGTCAAGCGCCAGATCACTTGCCACGTCAGCTGACCCCACATAAAATATTTGAAATTTTTATTTATTTAGTTCGTTTCTTTTTCTAATAACAATATTAATTAAAAACATTAATTAAAAAAATAAATCTTAGGGTTGGGTCCCCCACCGCTCACCTTATCCTCTCACTTTTCCTTGATCAGGAAAAAGTCCGAAATCCATCTTCCTCGACTACTCTTTCCCGACCCCTCACTTTTTCTTGAGCGAATCGAAATCCTCCCACCTGATGTTCCAAAAATCGACGGAGTAGTGCCTGCCCAAAACTAATAGAAATCCATATGATTAGGGACGAAGCCAGGATCTTAGTCTGGGGGGGGGGGGGGGGGGGCAAAAATAAAAATAAAAATTCGAATTCTTTTAGTTAATGTATGCTATTTTCGTTGTTCAAAGTGCACATTTACTATATATAAAAGTAATAAAAACAAATATAAGTATCCAAGATCACAAGTAATAAATATCAAGAAAAGTGAAATTAAATATTACTCATAAATATATATAAATAAAGAAGAAACTAAACCAGTGAAAACAAAATACTTACAGAATACCTCAATATGGATTTGCAATGGATTGAAAATATGTCCTCCATGTTAGAAATCCAAACTACCAAAACTACAACATACACGATGTACATAAAGTGCCTAAAAGTTGTATTTCTAAAATTCCCGAGGCGAGGGGGGGGGGGGGGGGAAGCGTTGATCTACCTATGTCCCAACATCTAATGAAACACACACGTTATGGTACGACACAGAATCGGCCCCATACAATTCCAACCAAGCGTAGTCGTTGAACGCCGAGCAAACAAGATCCTTCAAATTCTTCGTTGCCCCCTAGCAGAACTACCATGAATCAACCCTTGTTCACGCAGTCGCTCGGAACAGATGTTAGGATGGCCTTGCGAACGAGGCTATCACGAACCGTTACGCTGGTGATTTGGTTGTCGGATTCTCCTGTGATTTGAATACGTTGGCGTCAACTTTAGGGAGAGGGTGTCGAGTTCCCTCGAGAGGGTTGAAAATGAAAGGGATGAAGCAAGGATCTTCGGGAGCGGCAAAGTGATCTTGGAAGATCATCTAACCTTGAGAAGCTCTGACGCAGAAACATACTTTGTTTTCTTCCAGGTAGGCTTCGGTGGTATGGAGGTTGTCGTCGAGAGGGTTGTAGAGTCGGGAGTGGGAGCTTTTTTCATCTTGGGGTGGAATCCACAGCCATAGAGTCGGATTGAGGAGAGATTCTGCCGAATATGATGATCTCCTTTCTCCGTTCGTCCTCTTGGACGACCTCTCCTCATTCTCAAAGCACCGGTGATGTTTGCTCTTCCCGATTACGACCATGGTTGAGGTTGGGGAACTTTTCCTTGATCGGGGAAGATGGGTTTGGGATTTTTTTTGAATTTTTTTCCATTAATTATTGTTATTAGATAACGAAATGAATTAAATAAATTCAAAATCAAAAGCTTTTATTTGCGGTTTGCTGATGTGGCAAGTGATCTGGCGCTTGACTAATAGTCAATGATGTTGACCGTTCAATTTGACGGTCAAAACCCGCATCGGGGGAAGTATGGTGCATAGTTCGGGCCTAGAGAGCAATTTTAGAAACCACGTGCCAAAGTAGAAAGTTTGGGTATAGTTCGGGCCAAAATAAAGTATTAACCCTTCTTTTTCCCCCAACAATATCCTCTTGCTTTTCTTTCTGCAATACTTAATTTCTCGAGGGACACAAGTCATCATAGGAGTTGCTAAAAGATCAAAATCAAATTTAAAGTAAATAAGCAACACATTATAACAGAGTCGTATTAAAATAAACATATCCTAAGAAGAACATACTAAAGTCTTCAATTAGAAACATATCACAATAATAACACAACCAAGTTTTAAATTTTAAGCAAGGACTACATCAGAAGAGACCTAACATAAAGGATGCCAAAGTCCTAAGGTAGTGTTAAGTGTAGAAGTCGACAAAGTATATGTGTTGAAAGACAAAGTTAAGTTGACCACAAGGGTGATCGTCAACAACTCATTAAGCCCAAAGACCCATATTTTCATCAGTACAAAGAGGGTAAGCATGTGAAAACTTGGAGAAATCAAGGCTTAAGACAACACATTGTACACTTGGTGAGCCAAAATAGTTAAGAATTCCTAGTGGGATTGCTAAAGTAAGACATACTCATAAGGTTCTATATCTACAGCCCAATATGCCATATAAGATGGCTAAATTAGAGGAGCATAAGACCACATGCAATGCCACTAAGACATGTTGTCTTAGTTAAGTACCATTAGACTAGGATATGACGGTCTTATCATGATTGATAAGCCTCAATCTCTACTCCTGCCGAGTGTGAGATTAGCCATACTAAGTCTTACTACCATGCTAAGGCATGAAGAACCCTCCTCATGAGAAGGCATTAGTGTAGCATGGTAGATGGCATGGGAGAGTATCTAGTAGTCATCACCAAACCCTTATTTGAAGAGGATCATCACCAATACTAGGGATGGAAGTTGGTACAGTATCGGTATCCCAATACCAAATACCGAAATCCCGAATACCGAATTACACCCTAAAATCAATCTCAATCCCGATCCCTAAATAATTTCAGTATCTCAATCACAATCCCTAAATATTTCGGTATCCTAATCGGTGCTTCGGTATCTCAATCAGTATTATCAAATACGAAATTAATTACCTTTGCAATTAATAATTAAATATATAAATTAGATTTGATTGATTAATATAGGACAAAGAGACTAAGCAAAGAGTCTTTAATTTGGCTAGTGCTGGGATATGATAAGGAGAATGTAGGAAATGTGACATCTCAAGTTTTTGTCATTTGTAATCTTTAATTTGACGAATTGGAGGTTGAAAGAAGACTAATACTAGTGTTTGCTTTTTGGTGTTATAAAATTAACAAGAGATTAGTGGTTGAGGGTCGTGTAGTAGTGAATGAGAGAGACTAATTGAGAGGATAAAATACACCCTATATTATATTTCGGTATTGTTTAGTATTTCGATATATACCGATCCCAATCCCATAATCCCTAATACTGAATAACAATTGAAACTGAATCTCAATCCCAAGAAATAATACGTGTATTCGGTAATACCAAATATAGACAATTCGGTACGGTATTCGGTATATTCCAAATACCGGTACCAAACTTTTAGCCCTAACCAATACCCTTTTGATGTGATGGAGAGTCATTATCATAACACACACCCCCCACCCCCCCACCCCCAAGTATGGAGGGGAGGATGGAGATAACGTGTAACATGATGATGAAGGCTAAATTTTGACTAAGTGATGAGGGGGTCATTAGTTAACCCCCCACCCTAATGCAATGAGGTGGGGTGAAAATTGGCTAAGTATGGAGTATCCACTCTCATGTGGTGAAGTGAACATGTATTTGGACCTGTGAAACTTCAAGCCCATATATGGTGGCTTTCATTTGAGAGGGTGTGTTAGTAAGTGGTACATGATTAATAATTAAACATCTCTCAACAACTCAAATGATTAGGCCCAACTGGTTCTTGATGTGGTATCAAAGCCTTCTGTGACCGAGAGGTCTTATGTTCGAATCCCGAAACGATTCCATTTGTTAAGCAAATGGTAATTGAACTTGGGCAAACTTTAAGCCAATATATAGTGGCATTTGTTTGGTGGGGTGGGGAGGAGTTAGTAATGGTATGTGACTCATGATTGAACATCTCTTAACAACTCCATTTATTGGTAGCAACTGGTTCTTGACAGGAGCCACCCTCATCTGATGAAGGGTTCATCACTCCTGATGTGACGAGAGGAGGTCATCTCTGTAGTATGAATATGACAGTCAATAATTTTGCTAAATGTCAAGTGGCGAATAGGTCACTCATGTCGCTCCTACAATCATAAATGGTAGTTGTTTTGCCATTTTGACCCACATGATTCAAATACCCACCCACATGTTACAAGGAGGGGACTACATGTCTTAGACTTTTTTCCCCATCTGACAATTAAAGCTAAGGAGGAGCTACTAAGTGGTGGAGGGGGTCAAGACTAAAAAGGGGGCCACAACCATCGTCGGGCATCATCAGAGCAATGGAGAAAGTAATTTGCACTCCTTGCTAGCTGAGCGGTTTTTTATTATAATTACTTCTGGTGGCTATAAATAGAAAGTGAAGATGACATATCAAGGGTTCGCAAAAATCACAACTTTACACCACTTGTCATGTTTTATTTTATGAGTTTCACTGCAAAACATAATTGTAGTTTTTGAGTTCTCACAGAATCTCCATAGGGGTAGAGTTATTTTAATGTATATGTATCTCACGAGTTGTGAAAAATATTGAATACCCTTGTTTGAACATTTTTCAAAGAGGTGTGAATTGTGTTTAATTAGTTGTTCAAAATGTCAAAGTGCAATCAATCCAATTTCAACATAAGTTTCCTCGATGAGAAACATATCGCATGAAATTTTCCATTTCATACATTTGAATTTGATGCACTTATTCATAAAATAATTTGATGCACCTAAACACTCAGGAAAGCCCAGATGGATGGATAAGGGAGTGGTTGAATTGCGAGTTGTCGAATTCAGTAACCTGTGAGATAGAGACAGTTCAATATCGTCATAGTTATGGTTCATATTGGAGTTATTGTGTAAAGAGAACACAATAATAACCATACAAATTATCAAATGATGTCTAGATAGTGTTAGAGCTTGTGATGTTTCATAGAGATTAATTACATGTTATAGCTCTATATTTTTTTTACAAAATATAATCATATATATTGATTCGACCAATAGATTATTACATCCTGAAATTTAATCAGGCCATAAAATCAAAGATACAACACGTAGTCGGGTACAATGAAAGGGACTTTCTAACCATCAAATGGACTACCCTATTACTACTCTGACCTACAAATCGCACATTAAGCCCAATTTGAATAACTAAATAGCGCACGACCTACTCCATCACCTAACTTATATGGAGTACTCTTCTTATAATACTCCAAATTTAAATCCAAATCCTTTCTATAGTTTTTTGTATATAAATTTCCTGAAATTTTATTAATGGGCTAGAGCCTCATTTGATAATAGATCCAAAATCCTTTCTATAGTTATCGACTCGGTAGTTTTTAATTTTCATATGTAACTTTTCCACGTACCATGATAGTATTCCTTCAACAAACATCGCCATTTTATAGGGTTCACAAACCGATTTGAGATAACTTTTTCCTATCTCATTAAATTTTTTTATAAATTATGTCCATTAAAAATAACAAACTTTCAAATCATCCTCCATCTTATATAAAATTTACCTAACACCTCCACTCACGGAAAAACCCCGCTAAAATTCGGAGCTCCAAACAATAGAACATTTAATTCGTTCATTCCTTCAGGTTCATTTTTGTTTTACTCTCTTCTTCGCAATTCAACCAAAATTCGTTCCGCTGATTAATCACAGGAGGAAAAAAGATAGTATTAAGAACAACAAAACTTGAAGCTCGATGGACGATGATGAGAATGGAGGGGTGGAATCCGGAGACGAGATCGAATCGACCTCGCCGCGAGATGGAAACGCCGTTATTCAAGAGATATTGAAGGTGATCGGATCCGTCGCCCAGTTGGGAGATTACCGGCGAAGCCACCGGAAAGAATGTATGGCCCTCGTCCGGCGGATCAAAACATTCCTCCCTTTCCTGGAGGAGATTCGGGACCTCGAAACGCCCATCACCGACGAAGGGATCGAATGCTTGAAGAATCTGAAAACTACAATCGTCATGGCCAAGAAGCTCCTCAGAACTTGCAATGAAGGAAGCAAGATTTACCTGGTCAGGATTCGTCCCAAAATAAATATAGCTTTATTTCATTCACGATCCGTCCCACAAACTTTGTTCTTGAATTTTATGGTTTTACATTCCATCACAGGCTGTGGAGAGCGAGGCCGTGATGGTGGGATTTCGAGCTGTGCAGGACAAACTGTTCAATGCCCTGGAGTCTGTACCGTATGAAGAACTCGGGATATCCGACGAGGTGAGGGAGCAGATCGACCTTATGCGAGCACAATTGAAACGGGCACAGCGCAGGACGGACACGCAGGACATGGAGCTAGCGATGGATTTAATGGTGGTGTTGTCGGACGACGACGAGTTGAATTCCGACTGTGCAATAATCAAGAGAATAGCTGGGAAGCTAGACCTCCATGACGTCGAGAGTGTGACGAACGAGATGATCGCTGTGAGGAACTTGGTGAGGGAGAAAAGCGGAGGAGGCGGGGCCCTGGCTCCTAGTCAAGAAACTGTGCAGAAAATCGTCGACATTCTCAACAACATCAGGAAGATTGTGGGATTAGAAGCGACTTCTGATTTCGATTGCCATGGTGGTGGGGGCCCTACCACCAAATCGCTCGCCAAGAGTCCGTCTCTCGTCATCCCTCACGATTTCCTCTGCCCGATCACGCTCGAGATCATGACAGATCCCGTCCTCATTGCTTCCGGCCAGGTGACAACGAAATTCCACTCGATTTTTGGGATAATTTCCTCTTTTTCTCTCATTTGAGGTAAAATTTGGTTTCCCTTATTTTGGTGTGAAGACATACGAAAGGGAGAGCATCCAGAAATGGTTCGACGCGGACCACAAGACGTGTCCCAAGACAAGGCAAACGCTGGAGCAGCTTTCCATGGCGCCAAACTGCGCTTTGAAAAGCCTAATCATCGAATGGTGCGAGAAGAACAACTTCAAGCTCCCCAAGAAGGAATCCTATCCCGCCATTGGCGAACTCTCCACCTGCAGAGGAATCGAAGAAGTCGCCACACTGGTCGACGAGCTCTCCTCCAGCAACCTGGATGTGCAGAGGAAAGCTGTCAAAGAAATCCGCATGCTCTCCAAAGAAAGCCCCGAAAACAGAGTGTCGATCGCTAAGAATGGAGCAGTTCGCCCGTTGGTCAACCTTCTTCCTTACCCAGATTCCAAAATCCAAGAACACGCCGTGACTGCGCTGCTCAACTTATCAATTGATGAAATGAACAAGAGGAGCATCACTGAAGCTGGAGCAATCCCTGCCATCATTGATGTGCTTCGAACTGGGTCCAGGGAAGCGAAAGAGAACTCTGCTGCTGCTCTGTTTAGCTTATCAATGTTGGATGATAACAAGGTAATAAACCACCCTAATACAACCAGCAATTCAAAGTCTCACAACTCAACTTCTGAATCTACGTTAAATCTCCATTTTTGTAATTTAATTTACCTCTAGGTGACGATCGGGCTCTCCGACGGGATCCCTCCCTTAGTCGACCTGTTACAGCACGGTACTCTGAGGGGGAAGAAAGACGCCCTCACGGCGCTCTTCAACCTCTGCCTCAGCAGTTGTAACAAGGAGCGAGCTGTAGATGCAGGGATCGTGAACCCACTCATGCAACTACTGAAAGATCGAAACTTGAACATGATCGATGAGACATTATCAATCTTCTTGCTCCTAGCGTCGCACCCGGAAGGAAGGACAGCCATCGGACAACTTTCGTTCATCGAGATGTTGGTGGAGTTCATTGCCGATGGGACGCCAAAGAACAAAGAGTGTGCCACTTCGGTTCTGCTGGAGCTCGGGTCCGGTAACCCGCATTACATGCTGGTGGCACTTCAGTTCGGGGCTTATGACCATCTGGTTGATATTCGAAAGAGCGGGACGGAACGAGGGAAGAGGAAAGCCAATGCGCTGCTTCAGTTGATGAGAAAATCCGAGCAGCTTTGACATTTTGTTTTCTTGGGAGGGGAGATTAATTGTTTTTCTTTTTCTTTCTGGGTTCATGTGTTCATATGAGTATCTTTTTCTGTGTGCTTGTGATTCACTGATGATATCCCTGTATATATATATTGGCTTATATACATGAAGTGGTAGAATTGGGGCAAAGACGGGGACTATTTCAAATTACTCTTTCTCATATAAACCTCACATTCAATCACAAATAGTAACCATATGAGAAAGCTACAGATAAAAACCTCTAAAACACACAAATAAGCACGAACAGAACGCATTCAAGTCGATTAACATTGTTGGGGAAGTTCATGGCTCAAGCGCCAAGGTTCTCGTTCGTTACATAATTCACAGCCACTACCTGGCTAACTACTGACATTTACATCGTATCATTAATATCACAATGAATTAAGTCATTCACTGAATCGTCGACTATAAACAGAAATATCAAGGACATACCACAGGTAGAGGGGTAGGCCAGACTGGAAGAGTAAGTGGTAACACAGTGGACCATTCCACGCATCGGATACGCTTCCTATTCTGATCAGAATTCTCAGGTACTTGCAGTGTTTTGCCTTCAAAATCACACTCGAGGAATGTGGTTCCCATAGACAAAGCATTGGATCTCTAGGATGCAAACCATGAAAATGGACTACGTTGTCGGAACACTTTATGGCCTGATTCATTGAACTTGAGGTACAATCCATCCCATCCGGGATATGAACATCATGATTGAGACACTACTCACCATTTGTGACTATGTACACTCTCAGTTGTCCTTCAAAAGCTTGTCCTACCCACAATGAGCCTTGGCATTGGCTAAGCCCATCGAAAGGGGCGAACTTCTGGAGCTCCTTAGGAAAATCCAATGGGAAAATGTGAAGCGCACTGAAGGAGAGGAGCACGGGGTAGCACTATCCACTTCTCCTCCTTGATATAGAAAACAAAAATCTTACATGGTTTAATGTCACACCCTTTTTCGTTCGATTTGGTCAATATGTGTGAGGACTAATTTAAGAGCTATGCTTCCATTAACTGATAATGTAAATGAAACACGAATATTAAAAAGGTTCAAAAGATGAAAACTTCTCCGATGAAGGTAGTGGTATTACATTATGAAACTTGATTAGTCTCAACTTGGTTTTTTTATCACCCCATGCAGAGGAAGGCACTAGACTTAATGGTCTCCTCAAATAATCTAACAAGTTGGACCCTTAAAGGTGAAAATAAAGTTAGAGGTAGTGATATTTTGACGAAATTCTCAAATAGGTGTATTTATTTACTTTAATTAGAATATAATAGTACAATAGGAAAGAGAAACTTACATATGTGACAACATTAAGACATTTAACCGATATAGAAAACATAAAATTAGAGTAGTAGGCACTCTTGTAAACATGCAATTACTGGGATCATAAAAACTAAATGGCCAAGAGAGAATATGAATAGATTAGCGACGAACTGGGTTATATTGGCGATGTAGACGCTCCAGAAAAACTTGGTGCTAGCGTTCTACCTTGTGAATATGTCTTTTCAAACGAATAAAGTTCCATAAACCACACAAAAGTAACACAATTATGTGAATTTTGAACTTAACTTGTCGAATGATGGAGTCAGGGTCATCCATGAGTTGTGGAAGGAAATGAGTAATACTAAAATCTTAAATGTAAGGCAAAGACGTACAAGTAGGATGAAAGGATTACTGCTTCGAATGTGAACTGGGAAAGAGCGAGAGATGTAGAAATCAAGTTCTTTGGAAGATGGGTAGTTAAATAAATGATAATGGTTGGGGCTCTCAATCAACCTAAGAAAATATAGAAAATGAGAGGAATAGAAATTGGGATCTTCGAGCTAGAAGTTCGAAGGGTGGAAAAGAAGAGTGATTTATATAAAGAAAACTCAATTGGTAGAGAAAAACGAAGACACTAGAAAGCAAACATAGAGAACGTGAGTGGAGCAGCAAACCCTTATGTGGTGTACGCGTAATAAATACCTAGAAGAAAGAAAGAAAGATATTGTAGAATCTAATCAATTAAGACATGGAATAAATTAGCACGCTATGTTGTCTTAGCATTATAACGAAACTGTTGGGATTAAGTTAGTATTTGATGATACATCTCGTCAGTATCAGAAGAAAATCCTTATGATATGTGATGATTATTTTTATCCTTTTACCTTTAGGTAACCTAAAATTATGTGAGTAGTCATAAAAGGAAAATGGTGATTATTTAAATAAAAGTTTTGGTCAATATTGCTATGAATAGAAGTCTAATGTTTTACTAAGCATACAATTTTGAAATGTCTTGTTGATTAAAAAGGCTTATCATGAGCTGAATGTACTTATGAAATTATAATGGTGTTATTGAATATCCCTAGATAACGACAAGCGGTGACGAAGAGTTGGATAAAGAAGTTAGAGTACTTGAGCTTGAAACATGAAACCAAAAATATGAAAGTTGGAACTTTGATGTTCAGCGAAAAGATAAATGGAGGAATAACCAAATGAGTGAACCTAGGTAGGTTAGTTCAGGTTTGAGATAAAATGCTTAATCTAAACGAAATCAAGATGTGATGTTCGTATTAAAGGGGTATGAATAGAAATGAGAAAAGACTAACCCAAATTTTATTTATAGTTTGCTCGAAAATCAAATTAAGGACAATGTCCTTAGACTGAAAAGGATTTGACACCAAGTGAGTACACTTCAAGACTACTAGGTTAAGGTGAATCAAAGCGCGTAGTGAAGAAAAGCAAGAATTAGGAGGCTCACATGTCAGTCCAGTATGGTAATTTCAAAATGAAACACAGTTTACCTCAAGAGTCTTACTAATTGCAAGAGGCATGGGGTACTAAGTTTGATTTTGTTCTTATCTCATTGCAAACCAAGGATCTAAATACACTATGTTAAGCAGGATCGTTATGTTAAAAGCCCATACGACAATTCTTAATGTGCAATCCTGTTGTTAAGAGAATTTGTGGGTAATAATTCATATGAGTACTAAGATAACATTATGTGAATTTTATGTGATAATGAATCTAAAACTCGGAGACAACCCTAAGGGGTTTTAAATTTTAATATGGTTTAGTGCATACATATTAAAGATTGAGGAATACTAGAGACATAGGTTTTCTGAACTATAAAGTGATCCGAAGAGTTTATGGATATTGTGTAATGAGATGTTGGGTGTCTGGAAGGATTCAAATGGTAGATTGAGAATTATAATTACATTTCTTTTCTAAGGAAGACAAACTAAGGAGGGAAGTGATATTGAGGGTAAAAGTGTGAGGAATAACGAAAGCATGAATGCTTAATACCCAAATTATTCAAGTTAAATTTCGAGGGTGAAATTTTTTTTAGAGGGGAGGAAGTGTCACACCCTTTTTCGTTCGAGTTGGTCAATATGTGTGAGGACTAATGTAAGAGCTATGTTTCCATTAACTGATAATGTAAATGAAACACGAATATTAAAAAGGTTTAAAAGATGAAAACTTCTCCGATGAAGGTAGTGGTATTACATTATGAAACTTGATTAGTCTCAACTTGGTTTTTTTTTATCACCCCATGCAGAGGAAGCCACAAGATGTCCATTTGTTCTAACCAAATAACTTGTATATTTTTCCCAACCGAATAAAAGAGAGAGGGTAGGGTGGGAGAGAGTTATTTCTTTCCTTCACCTGCAAATCAACTCAGAAACTGCCCAAGGCCTTCTTCTTGGGACAAAAGGAGCAGTTTGGCGAGTATAAGGGCTAATACAGGGCCAGCTAATACCTACGGTAATTGATCTTTTGCTATTAGTAGTGTTTGAGAGTTTTGGTGGGAGGAGAGGAATCGCGGGTTCGTTTGCACATTGGAATAATTATAACTGGTTGCTAGTTAAGTTTCATGGATGCCCTTTCGTGAGGATAGTGATGGGCTTCAGGACTTTTGCATGTTGATTATTAGGTGGTTTAGTTTTTTGATTTAAGGGATCCAATTATTGTCTCTTTAATCTGCATGCAATATAGTTACTTCACAAACTTAAATATATAAGTATGTACAGACGTGTACTTAATAGAAGAAGGGGGAATAGAAGTCAAAGAAGGGAGTTTATATGTTGCCCAAATCGCATACAAGTAGATTATACATTTAGTTATGTACATCTAATTATGTATCCTAATTCAGGATCATTAAGCCAATATATGTGTACTGAGTTTATTTATATATGGGGTTTAAAGGAAAAGAGCAAGCCAGAGAATCGTCAAGACAAAAGGGAAAGAGAAAGTTGAGTAATTATACTGTGAATAAATTCTAACCTAATGTTTATCTTAATACGATTATGGTATTTTGGTCACGAAGCGGCCCGAGTACAAGGTATATGATGGCTTGGTAAGACTTAGCACAAATGTGATTGAAGGTTGCTATGTGGGATGGTTACATGATTGAATGATGATGAAATGATTGAATGATCCTATGATTGGATGAGGTTACCGTGTCGTGGTAATTGTATGATAATGTGATGATATGATGAAATGATTGTATGATGGTATGACCAGAAGGTCATAATACATGTTATTTGTGTGCTAAACGATATTATGTGATGAGTATATGGTATGTTAATCCATTTGAGGTTGTCAAGTTAAAAGAATGGCAAGAAAGGTTTCCTATTGTCAATTATACTAGATGAGATAAAATGGCCTATGAGCTATACAAGTGAATGTTATATGAAATGACCCTTGCGACACACAAGTGATATATTGAGTTGTGAATAACTATAAGATTTTTTATGGTCACCTAAAGCAAACGTAATGGCGCCCTGTCATGCACTCATTATAAGGGGAAAGAGGCTTCAAGCCTAAGAGATAAAAGAGTTATACGATAACTCCTTTTAAGGAGTAATGCCAGGCCTGGCTACGAGTTTATGAGATATGGCACGATGTGCCCCACGAGTGTAGGAGTTCATGAGATATGGCACTATGTGCCCACAGGTTTATGAGATCAGGCACTTTATGCCTACGAGATTACGAGTTCACGAGATCCCTGGGAGTGCATGACTTGGCAAATTAAAGGATAAAAGCTAGTGATTGGATGTTGATACATTGTTGATCTTGGATGAAATAAGGTAGATGTGTTATATATGTTATATGAAGGTATATGAGGTACATTGTGATAATCTCCTATGACGAGTGGTACACTGATTGATCAGGGAACTGTGTTGTAAGCAATTATGATATGTTGATTTAATTATGATACTGCCATGAGAGACTAATGTGTATAATGTTATGTGTATATAAAACATCCCATGATGGAGTGTTAATAGAAGTGCATAGATATGATGGAAAATTCTGTATGGCGTAAGAGAATAAATATGAACTATTTGCAACACCAGCTAGGGTAAAGTAAAGGTGAAACCCTAAATAAATCATGTATGACATATAACGTATATGTGAAAGGTTGAATGGACGAGGGAAGAAATTTTTTGTAAATCTACATAGGTGAGACATAGGTAAAGTTATCAAGTGATTAATATGCACCGAATCTAATGGATAGAAGACACTCCGAGTCACAACATAGTATGATATCATTTCGTATTAATATTTATATTAGGATATTATTTACTCATTGAGTGACGTCTCACCCCGTCAATATTTTTCCATCACGGGACTAGAACGACATCAGTAGAGCGAGACGGATGAGTACTATCGGCCAATTGGCTAAGAGGTGGGCGGCGAAACTAAACTCTCCACAAATCTTTCAATTAAGAGTTAGGAAACAAGTAAAATTTTTGCAAGCTAAGGCTTAAGACAATACTGGTTTTTAATACAACTTCATTTTTCAATGCACTTCATGTAAAGATTGTAGGTAAACCAAGCCTAAATTGGTCAAGGGAAATATTAGGAGCATGAATACATGGTAAGCCACTTTCCAAAAGAGTAACACTAGAGTAAGACACTGGAAGATCCCAAAACCACTGTCCCACGGGCATGGAGTGGGAGGAAATGTAAGGATAGTTCCAAACCATTAAGGATGCATTTGACTTGAACCGCACTGCCTGCAGAAGATCAACTCTGATTCCGTATCAATCCCTTACAGAATGAAGCGCCTCTTGAAATATGGATTATCTCGGATATAGGAAAGCCAGAGCAGCAAAAAGACATGCACTGAAACACATCACGGAAAGGAATGCGAATCAAAACCTCTTCCAGTAGATGGTGAAATGCAAGAAGGTCACTAATACATAATGGTGCTGACGATTCAGCCCTAGCCATGGAAGCTTCGCTCAGTTCTCACGCTGGAAAATTCGAGACGAACCCAGTTCAGTACCAATAACCTCGTCTGCGACCACAAACAAGAAACCCCCAATGACTGACATGTAACTTATCTACAACGCGTTCTTGTCAATGTCTTCATCGAGAAGACGGCGGAGGTAGAGGTCGATGTTTTCATCAAAAGTCGGATGGGAGGAAGTTTGGTCTGCTTAAGCTGTGAGAGCTTGCTGATGGAGGACAACCAGATCTCCGATCATGTGAGGAGCGGAGCGGAGCGGAGCGGAGCGGGGCGGACGAAAGACGGTGAATGTTCTCTCCATTGGGACTTATGTTTTATTATTCGAGAAGCCAGCCTTAACAGTTTACTACTGCAGGGCTGGGCCGGGCCGTCGAGGTGTGGCTTGGGCCCTAGGGTCAGGTGGGCTGGACTATAAACTAGGTTGGTGACCAAATTATGATTTTAGGTCATCTCTTTGACATGTTCGACTATCTTACTTGGTTATCTAGTGTACCGATTTCCTCATGTACAAACATTGGATTTTTGTTCTTTCTCATTAATCATGAGATCTATTGGAAGAAGAAAAAAAATATGGTTTTGGCACCGGGTTTCTTTCAATGGGATTTAGGTTGGTTCGATTTCCCCGGAACTATTTCAGGTATGTAAAGGACTTATGTAGGGGAACAGATAAAATAACAACAACCCCTTTGTTGTTACTGTAACAACATGATTCATTAAGGGCATAAGGGTAAACTTACCCATAATCTAATAAAATAAAAATTAAATTAAAATATATCAATTCCTAGATCACTCTCGATATCCTCCCCTACCTTTCCCGACCGCTTCTCCTCGGTCCTATCTTCTACCGCCGCCGAGAACGTCGCCTCCGACAATTGAGGCATCGATCCTTCTCCTCCAATCTCAGGCAAGCAGTGCTCCTCAATCCGCCACTATCCTGGATGAATTCGACGACATCGAGATCATCTGGAAATTGAGTTTGTGATTCGAATTTTGAGATCATCTCCAGACGGCTAGCAATTGAGTTTGTGATTCGAATTTCTATATTCCTCCATTTTCCTCCGATTCAATTGTGTTGCGTTCGCGGCAACGGTGGCAGATTGTGTTCGCGACGACGGTGGCGGCAGAAGTGGTGACGAGGATCTCGCTGTTGGGGAAAGTTGGATCTGGGTGGGGAACCCTGTGTCGCTCTCGTCGTTACCTCCTTTGCTGCCGCACTTCACCGCAACGAGATCTTCTCTGTTCTTCTGATCTCGTACGCATGGTGGAGGCCTTGTGTGCATGGTGGAGACGAAGCATGTTATTCAGCTGGGGACATCATGGGTTTAGAGTTTTAATTATTTCAACCAGGGACCTACTGCAGCTCTAAAACATGTCTCTTTGTTCTCTTCTAGCTCTATTATTCTAGCTCAATTATATGTCTTGATTTGCGCAACTCTTTTCTCATTCGTTCTCTTCTAGCTCTATTCCAGCTCGATTATATGTCTTGATTTGCCATTTATTTTGATTGATTCTTGCCATTGATTCCAGTGATATGAGATTAATGTTGAATGTTTGATTGTTTTCAGTGAGATTTTTGAATGTCGACATTGAAGGATTTACCTTCCTTTCGTTTTCAAAAAGAAAATAGAATTTCTAATGCTTACCATTAACCTCCTATGTATACCACAAATCGTCTAAAACATATTATAAATCCCACAAAGTACACGACAATATTTCATAAGCACACCAAAAATATGCTAATGCAAACTAGAAACGATGTAAAGCAAACTACAAAAAGCAAACCAGAAACATCCTAATGCAGACCACAAATCTCCTAAAACATACCAACAACCCCACAAAACAAACCACAAAATTTTTGAAAGCCCACCAGAAACCTCATAATGCAAACCACAAACACCGTAAAGGAAATCACAAAAAGCAAACCAAAAATCCTAATGCAGACTACAAATCATTAAAACAAACCAGAAACCCCTCAAAACACACCACACATTTTTTTTAAAGCACACCAGAAACTTCTTTATGCAAACCAGTAACACGATAAAACAAACCACAAATAGCATACAAAAAACACGAGAAACCAAACCATAAATCTCACAATGCAGACCATAATATACGGTGGTCGTTGACCAAACTCCGATGACCGTGGGTGACCGGATTCCTGCACCGATAAACATATTCCGTCTCGATGAGTAGGTTTTGACGCCAGTAAGCATATTCCGACCACGGTTATTGGATTCTGGCGACGGTGGGCATATTGCGACGACAAAATAGCATATTCCGGTGCCTAGTGACCAGATTCCGACGACCAGTGGCCGAATTCCGGCGACGAAATTTTGGGGAGGAAATTAAAAAATATTGTTTAAATATTTAATTTTTATTTTTATTAATATTTAATTTTTTATTATTATCTAAACATAATTTTTATAATGACAATTATACTCCTGCTTTGATTTTACCCTAGGTCAATTTAACTAATAAAAAGTCATCACATCTCTAACTTTCTATTTGTTGAAGACTAGTGTTGTCACCCTAACAACACAAGAATGTTGTCATAGTAACTAATTCCCTTACGTAGTTATGTTTAAAGTGGAACTATGTACTTTCCCCGTTCCCCATTTGTCTCTTGTTATTTTTCCTGGTTTTGGTGTGGCCAAGAGACGGAAGCTATGCCACAAAAACCTAATTTTCCCCTCTACTAATAATTAAATTCGTAGAACTCGATTGTGCTTTCAACTGTCAACACTCAATTGGTAGAACCCAATTATTTGCTCCACCCCCTTTGGCAGTTCCAAGAGTCAGAATTCCAATTTCTCTACCCAGAAGTAGCCAACAGCCCAACATCGTCATCAAAGCCAACTACACTCCCACCCACATTTCCCATAACCGGATAATTTTTCATCTGGGTGGCCGTTGGTAAATAAGCTTGTAAGAGTAATGGTGTGTAGGCTTTAAAAGTGACTACATAATGTCATTGGAAGGAAAAAGCCTAATAATATTTTGATTTTGAGACCATCAAGCTGAATCTGTGTGTAACAAGAAAAAAAATGTAAGTATGACATTAACCGCTATTTTATACACTATTTATTTACCTAATCTCCTTCCTCGACAGGATTTCACACTGTCAGTATACCCAGTGGCAGTAGCACACAGTTCAAGGTGCATCCTATCCTACGCGTCGCTACAAGAGTGGCTTATTTCATGCTCAGCCCATCTGTGCGCCTCGAATAGCATAACCACCAAAATTGCAGGATAAGAAAATTTATGAAAATCATGACGTTCTCAATCATTATCCCTTTTCCAACAATAAAACCTTTTTGAAGAAGAAGAATAAATGAAAAAAATATAGAAAAAGGAAAAATATAAAAAATGTAGGAATTTTTCCAGAAATAGCACTATTTAAAAAAAATTCCAAAAATAGCACCCAACTCGAAAAAATGCCAAAAATAGCACCATTTCCCAAAAACCGCCACCCAAACCAGCGACTTAGGCAAAAACCGCATCCCGGGGGCACGTTTTCCTATGAAAACCGCACTGGTAGGGTGCGATTTTGCAAACCGCATGGGGCCGGGGTGGTTTGGTTGCAAACTGCACCCCCACCATGCGGTTTGTAATATATATTTTTTGTTCCAAAATAAATATCACAAGTGGACTTGGCACAACTGGTTTAGTCATTTATTGTGTGCAAGAAGTCCTGGGTTCAAATCCCTACCATCCCATTTGAATTTTTTTTATTTTTTAGAGATTAAAAAAAACTACATGTTGTGGGAGTGGTGGATCGAACCAAGATAATAAATATTTTACTAAATTTAGCACAACATCTACACCACTCAACTACAACTCTTCTCTTAAAACAATAATATATTGACAAACTTTTACTCCTCGAAAGCTAAAAATCCTCAATAACTTTAAACAAACATAACTTTGTGCTTCAAAATCCGAACGTTAGGAACTTTTTTTTTATTTTGCATAACTTTTTGAGAACTACAATTTTTACTAGGAATGAATTTTCAAAACAAGATTTATGCAAAATATTGTAGTCCTCAAAAAGTTATGCAAAATAAAACAAAGTAGAAAAATATTCCCGTTTGCTAAATTGACCATTGTTCTATTTAATTATGGTACCTAGTTTATGATAGGGGCGAAGTATAGAAAGCAAAGAGCACTTCCATTTTCACCCAAGTAACCATGTGGTTGCGAGTGAAAGTATTATAGCGGATGAAATAATTTGAACATCTAATCATTAGGCTTTCTTTTTTGCAAATGACATCTTACCATTAGTTGTGTTTGATGTATTGGGCGATAATTGTACTCAATGGAAATGATTAAGTATATCAAATGATGATTCATATCATATGTGATCTGTAAATCTCAGATTATGATGGTATTAATTTGAGTATTATTACTGAACATGTGAGATGTATTAAACACCAAAGTCATAGTATAATGTTCCTGGATGCTATGCAGAGGCTAAAACTAGCATCCATTTATTCTTGAATAATATTGTAGTCCTCAAAAAGTTATGCAAAATAAAAAAAAAGTTCATGACGTTCGGATTTTGGAGCACAAAGTTATGTTTGTTTAAAGTTATTGAAGACTTTTAGCTTTCGAGGAGTAAAAGTTTGTCAATATATTATTTTTTCAAGAGAAGAGTTGTAGTTGAGTGGTGTAGATGTTGTGCTAAATTCAGTAAAATATTTATTATCTTGGTTCGATCCATCACTCTCACAACATGTTGCTTTTTTCAATCTCTAAAAAATAAAATAAAAATTCAAATGAGTTTGTGGGGATTCAAACCCAGGACCACTTGCATACAATAAACAACTAAACCAATTGTGCCAAGACCACTTGTGATGTTTATTTTGGAAAACAATATATATTACAAACCGCATGGTGGGGGTGCGGTTTGCAACCAAACCGCCCCGGCCCCATGCGGTTTGCAAACCAGTGCGGTTTTCATAGAAAAACGCGCCCTCGGGGTGCGGTTTTTTCCTAAACCGCTGGTTTGGGTGGCGGTTTTTGGGAAAGAGTGCTATTTTTGACATTTTTTCGAGTTGGGTGCTATTTTTGGAATATTTTTTTAAATAGTGCTATTTCTGGAAAAATCCCAACAATGTTTATCGTTGTACCGAAGCGGCGAAGCCAATGGCGTTGGTCAATTTCAATAAAGCTTCCCATAAAAATAAAAATAAAAAACTTTCAATAAAGCCAACAACCTCTTCCAGTCTCCCTACACCAAAATCAAAGCTCTAAACTTAAGTTCCCGTTTAGTATCATTTTGTTGTTGTTGTGATTGCAGTTGTGTTATGTAAACAGATTTACAACCACAACACGAAAAAAACAGAAAACACAAACCTGTTTAGTTGATAAATCTAAAAAATCATGAAAGCTGAAAACAAGAAACAAAAACGCGTTTATTTACTACTATAAGAACTAAAAACCAGAAAAAAGAGATATGTCCTCAATACTAAGCAAATCCCACAAAAGACAACATACCTATGGCGGGGAGTCGGAGTGGCGGCGGCGGCAGGGTCGGGCCGCGGCGGGCTGGGCAGGCGAGGCTCGCGGCGACGGCTGGGCAGGCGGGGCTCGGGAGGGCGGATGGCGGAGGCGGGAGGCGTTTATGGTTGGATTGGGGAGAGTGGCGCCTCTCGTTCGAGAGAAAATGGAGGGGTTGGGGGCGTCTGAAAGTAAGTAGGGTTTGGGGGTGATATGTGTTAAAAAATTTTTTTTTGCTTTTGTGGGGATTCGAAAACCGGTCTGTTTTGATGAAATCAAGTGCCCAACCAGTAGGAATTCCGTGCGCAACATGTTTAAGAATTAGATCCAAAGCTATAAATTGTTGTTTATCAAATTTGAGTCTTGTTGTGCAACTCTGATTTACAACACAAGATAAAAACCCAACTAAACACGATTTTTTGTGATAAGATATACAAGTTTTATACTTTTTATATAAAAAAAATGGTCTGTCATTGCCATTCAGTTGTTGGTGCATTTGGAGTTTGGAAAAAGAATATACTACGAGAGATGTATTGATGTGAAGGAACTTGGGCTGTATTTTTTTTTTTTTTTATGGAGTAAAAGACTGATTTGTGGTTATAACATGCAGTGTGTTTGGAACAATAATGTTACGTGTATTTGCTAATGTGCTTAATCAGCATCTTTGTGACCAAACAAAGCATTGAAATATAGTCATAATCCTGTGGTTTGTCTCGACCCAATGGAACTCTCCGTTGGCATGTTGGCTTCTCATACTACATACACTTATTGAATCTAGAATCGTCGCTACTAGAAAATTTATGAATGTTGAAAAAATAATTATGTTATTGACGTGTTGATTATCATTTTATCGATGAGATAGCATGCAACAATGTGATTTGATCTACTCTCGAAATCTAAATTAATTTTAACAAATTTTAGAAATTTTCGTATTTATTTATGAAATAGACAATTGGTTAAATAAGTAAGGCGTAATATACAATAACCCCAAAGAACTTCAGGAGCATATTCTTCTACTGACTACTGGTATCGTTATCCACAACCACAAGCGGAGTGTTTAACTAGCGATTATGATGATGACAAGGCAATTTTCTATCTTGATTCACTTTTTTATTTAATAATAAATAAATCTGTTTCTTAAAAAAAGTGAAATAATTAATTTAAGTGTGGATAATGATAGACATATCTTATTTCCGAGGGAAAATCAGAAGAAAAAAACCCCCTAAAATAAGAAAAAAGTTCCGTAAAATCTGAAAATGGTTGTGTGAGCCACGCACCTCCTATAAATTTATTAACAATCCAGAAACAGACTGAAAATCCTCGATATTATTATCCGCCATTCTCAGAGCTTCAATCGGTGGTGCTCATCTTCTTCTTCTTTTCCTTCTCTCCTCCATTTCTTCATCCCGCAACCCATCTCTCCCGCCATGGATCCTTACAGGGTATGTAACCATTGCTCAATCGCTTGCTCCTTATAATTGATCGTTCATCCATTTGCTTGCTTTGATTAATCAGAACCCTAATCCATGTTCGGTTTCGGATTCGTTTTCGGGTTTAGTGATTGATTTGGTGTTCTCAGTACTCTCTTTGATTGATGGTTGCGTCTTTTGATTACAGCATCGTCCTTCGAGCGCTTTCAATTCTCCGTTCTTCACTACCAATTCCGGCGCTCCAGTATGGAACAACAACTCTTCGATGACCGTTGGACCTAGAGGTATTATGTTTCTAGCTTGTACCTGCTTCCCTGTTTGGTTGATTATTTTTGGGATTGTTGAATTGTTATTCTCTTCTCTGTACTGTTTTATACTCTCGGAGTGTTTAATTGTGAGCTGGTGCGCCATTAGATAGCGATGTGTGTTCGCGTTTACAGTGATGTGCATCCCATCTCCTGTTTCGTTTTTGATTTTGTGGTTTGAGATATATTGGTAGGTTTGGAACTGGGAATTGCTGATGGGGTTATGCCATTTGTGATGCTAATTGTATGAACTGCGGTGATTCTCATTTGGTTTGTGTTTGTAAAGACCAACCGGTGATTTTGTATGAACATGGGCTCGATTGTATCTGAAGTGAGATTGAACTTGTTGGTTCTTGTTCTGATTTCGGCAGGTCCAATTCTTCTGGAGGATTATCATCTGGTGGAGAAGTTAGCCAACTTCGACAGGGAGCGAATTCCGGAGCGTGTTGTCCATGCCAGGGGAGCAAGTGCAAAGGGTTTCTTTGAGGTCACCCATGATATCTCTAATCTCACTTGTGCTGATTTCCTCCGAGCTCCTGGAGTTCAAACTCCTGTGATCGTTAGGTTCTCCACCGTTATCCATGAGCGTGGCAGTCCCGAAACTCTAAGAGACCCTAGGGGTTTCGCTGTGAAGTTCTATACCAGAGAGGTAAATCTCATAATTATCGGTCACCCATTTGGTTCTTAGTTGACCGTGTGTGAATGGATTCATTTGTAGCCTGTATTTTCTACTGTGCCTTTTTAAAATATCTTCTCGATTCTTTTTGCATCCTGTAAACATCTGTTTCTATACTGGATTCGTCAATAACATTATGTAAATTTGCTAGGTGGTAATTTATTGAATACTAAATCGTATGGTTATATATGCCTAACATTAGGCACCTTAATCATTGGACCATCAATGGTTCATGGTCTGTGAGTTCTTAATGTTGCTTTGCTCTTAATAATGCAGGGGAACTTTGATATGGTTGGAAACAACTTCCCAGTCTTCTTCATCCGCGATGGGATGAAGTTCCCTGACATGGTTCATGCTCTCAAGCCAAACCCTAAGTCTCACATTCAGGAGAACTGGAGAATCCTCGATTTCTTCTCCCATCACCCTGAGAGTCTGCACATGTTCACCTTCCTCTTTGATGACCTCGGTGTTCCTCAAGATTACAGACACATGGAGGGTTCTGGTGTCAACACCTATACCTTGGTCAGCAAGTCGGGCAAAGCCTACTATGTCAAATTTCACTGGAAGCCCACTTGTGGGGTGAAGTGTCTATTGGAGGATGAGGCGATTAAAGTTGGTGGTGCTAATCATAGCCATGCTACCCAAGATCTTTATGACTCGATTGCAGCTGGAAACTACCCCGAGTGGAAGCTTTTCATCCAGACGATCGATCCAGATCATGAGGATAGATTCGACTTTGACCCACTTGATGTCACCAAGACCTGGCCAGAAGACATCATTCCTCTTCAGCCGGTTGGCCGCTTGGTCTTGAACAAGAACATTGATAACTTCTTTGCTGAGAATGAGCAGCTTGCATTCTGCCCTGCGCTTGTGGTTCCTGGGGTTTACTATTCGGATGACAAGCTGCTTCAGACAAGGGTCTTCTCCTACTCTGACACCCAGAGGCACCGTCTTGGACCAAACTATCTGCAGCTCCCTGCTAATGCTCCTAAGTGCGCTCATCATAACAATCACCATGAAGGTCTCATGAACTTCATGCATAGGGATGAGGAGGTAATTTCTACATGCTCTTGACAAACATATCTACTTGATTCAATTGGACCACATCGATATTTGGTTTAAAGAAGACCAGACCCAAATATAATTCGGATTTGGCTCATGTTCTGATTGGACTCTATGATGCAACTTCTCAGGTGAATTACTTCCCATCAAGGTACGATCCAGTTCGCCATGCGGAGCAATTCCCCATTCCTCCTCAAATGTGCACGGGCAAGCGTGAGAAGGTAAGCTCTGCTCTTCTTTATGTTACATTCATTTTTTCATTCCAGAATCAACGATTGATAGGCAGTCATTGAACAGGGCTGTCTATCAACAGCATTACTACTTGTTATATACATTCACTGTGTTCCATTATGGCCCTTTCCATCTGTTTTGGTCTTAAGATTATTTTTAACATAAATTTGGTTTCGGCTTTGCTTTACCTCTATGAGTGCAGTGTGTGATTGCGAAGGAGAACAACTTCAAGCAACCTGGGGAGAGATACCGATCCTGGGCACCCGACAGGTAGAATCATAAACGTCTGGCAGCTCCCATCATGAACTCATGAGTAACACTAGTGCCTAACCTTCAATTTATTCTTTTTTTCCAGGCAAGAAAGATTTATCTGCAGATGGATCGACGCCCTTTCCGACCCCAGAGTCACCCATGAAATCCGCAGCATCTGGATCACATACTGGTCACAGGTTAGGAGGAAAAACCCACCTCATAAGTCATAGGATAACCATGTCAACAATGTTGATGAAAGTGAACTGTTTGTCTAAGCTATCTCCTGTTCTTTATGTAGGCCGACAGGTCTCTCGGTCAGAAGCTAGCAAACCGTCTCAATGTGAAGCCAAGCATTTGAAGAAATCGGAAGAAGAAACTCATAGCTCGATGTTCTTGCGACGTGTTGAAAAGAGATGATTCCATTCAAGATGGAGAGAAATGGACGCTTCAATTCTGTGCCCTTAATGTTGTACTACAGTCCGTGTGTTGAAACTTGAAACCGAACTCATAATGTGTTTGTCTGCGACTCTGTGTTTACTGCTTAATAAGAAGAAAACGTACCAAACATCAAATCATATGTTGTCTAATTACTGCACATGCATTTCGTATGTACCTGGCTCTTATGATTCTGCTCCAAATGAGATTCTCCTTTTTGGGCTTTGGCCCAATTTTGCTTAGCGTCTTCTCGAGGTGGCCCATCATTGATTAATTGGTGGCTTCATGTGCTCCAGTGTCTGTGGCAACATATGTTGATGAGGTGATGGGCTGGCTTCAAATTGAAACGTCGGGTTCTAATTAATAATTGCAGGTGGTCTGTCCCTTTGCCAATGGGCCTAGTTCATCAGATTTTGAGAATGAAAGCTGTGGCAAGTTATCGTCACCATTAACACGAAGGATCGCCCAATAATTGGATCTTAGGTTTGTGGGAAGAATGCTGGAGAGGTCCCCATGATTGCAGAAGAAATGCATCAGAACCAAGGTTGTCAAACCGGTTTATACCGTTGTGCCGGTTTAGCAAGTGGAATGGTACGACCGGTGGTATAATCAGTTTGTGCCGGTTCATGTCGGTTTAAAAGAATGTGAAAATATTAATATCCAATGTATTTAATCATATATAAAAACATATTTGTGAACAATTTTATTACAATTCAACAAAATATCATCAAATTTTAACTATTAAATTCATAAATGAATAATAAATTAATTTTTATTAATTAAATTCATTAAATTAATGCATTTTGCTTAGAACGCGTAAGTCGATCATATCAGTCATACCAGTTTTATGACCGATACAGGTTGAACTAGGTTCAACAAGGTGGCATAACAACCATGATCAGAACCATGAGATTCCCTATCGGATGAGATTGATAGTTGAAGTTAATGGAAATAGGGATTACATCGGGCTCGGAAGTATTTTTCAAATTTAATTTATTTTGTTAAAAAAAACATAGCTATTGTCGAGCTTTTTTAAAGCGACGATGTTTCTTTTCCCGTTAGTTTTCTTAACAATGTCGAGCTTTTTTTTTTTTTTTTTTTGTGTTGGGCAATGAGCGATTGCCGTGCGTATGCTGCCTTCAATTGTGTGTAATTTTCAAATTGTAAAATTGTGCACACGCTAGAGTTGAAGTTAATGGACTTACAATGGATCAGGGTTGACAGGATTATTTCAAATTATAGTTGATTTTTTTTAAAAAAAAATATAGCTATTGGGTTTTGTGAGAATAATTCAACCCAATCCCGTGGCTATTTAGAGGTTTATAGATATCTATGGTTGACAAATATAATCACTGAGTAATTTCTCTAAACACTCACATCCTTATATTATCCATTTTTCTATAATTATATTGTTATAAAGACTAATTGCATCAAGAATTATTCATATCATTAGAGCTATATTGTCAAAAAGACTAATGGCATTCATAAATTATGTATATGGTTGGAGTATGCAAAATGTTGTCGTTTTCTTTACAAGTGGTTCAAGTGGAAAGTGAACCAGTTTTTGGTCAAAACCGTACCAAATCCAACCGGACATTTCTAAAACGGGATTTTCCCAATGTTATGTTAGTTCGGAATGTTGTATGTTAGCAAGAGACCATATTTGTAGAAACGACAATTATGCGATTGATTTTTTTGTTTATAGAGGCATGATCTTTCTCGATATTCAAGAGGTGCAAGCCTTCTCCAAATATGTTGTAGCGTATGTTAACTCGTGATAGATATACTCTGAGAATCAATCTAAGAAAGCATCAAATCAGCCTACCATGTACAAATCAACTTTGTGAAGAAAATTCACTCCTTGTTTTGGTTAGACAAATTGTGCTGGAAAAAGTGATTATATTCATATTCTTATCAATTCTAAACCATTTACTCTCTTAAAAGTATCACGTTCACAAAGAAGGTTAAAATGGTTTCTTTCAAATCTACCAACAAATTAATTCACGAGTACAAGGGTATCAATATTCAACCAAAACGAGATTCAACCATACTAAATTAATAATAATAAATGTGGGCATAGATCTATAATCCACCCTGACATCATCACAGTTCTTAGGTAATTAACCAAAATAGGAGTTAGGAAATGGAATAAGTTAGAATCTCAACTCCCCACTTGCCTTGCATCTTGCCCTAATTAAAATATTAATTACCACTAATCCCTCTGCGTTGGGGAGCTTAATCAACTAGAACACTATGTGCTCTTCCTTCTTTCACACCACAGTTTGAAACTAAACCTGCCTTAGAAATATCTCTCATGAAGGCTGAGATCCTTTCGAAGATAAAGAAGAAAAAAAACATAATTTTTTAATTTGAGGTGTCACTATTGAATTGCTTAAGCTCATTGTTTATTGTTATTTAGTATTTAATTCAAATGTCAGAACTTAGTTAAGATAAAATTAAAGCTGAGGGACGTGTGGGGGTTGCATTGATGCAAGTGTGCGGTTCCTTGAAGAAATCATCATTTTGTTTCGAGTTAATTCTCTCCCAAAAAGTCATTAATTATTAATTTAATTCAATCAAGCAATGAGGCCGATTGATATTTGTGTAAAGGGAACCGTTGAGAGATTCTAGTTAGATGTGGTTGAACTGTGGTTGAACCATGGTTTGATATTCACGTATTCATAAATAATGTGAAATGTAATGGATGGATAATTGATGTGTGTGGATGATGCGTCGATAAATTTTATATCCGCACTTATTTTGGTGGGTTCAGAGTCATCCGAATAACCTACTCTCCAATGACAGAAAGTTGTTTCTTTTTCATACTATCAACAAGTCATGACACTTCCTAAGTGTACATCATCCTCTGTAGGTGAGAAAACAAAGAATATTAAGCTATTACTATCGGTTATTATGCTGTATGATGTTCATTATATATTGGAATTCAAATTACAAATAATTATTCGTATCAACTCGCAAAAAGCATAAACTTTCTCTCAATTAGTTGATGGAGTAATCAAAGATTTGATACTTCGGTCAAAGAAGCGAATGCATAAAGAGCCTTGGTCTCTAGTAATATGTGGTTTGTGACAAGTTTGTATGAGTAATATAAAATTTTGCACTTCACAAGTACTCGCGGATCTATGGGAGACAAAGCAAGAGGTGCCTAAATTGTACTATCTTACTAATTGCGATGAATTTGGTGTAAATGTCAACCAACTTGCTCAATGATTAGTTGAAAAATTGCTTTTGTAAGTTAACTCACAACTCAATTGTAGCCACCTGCCACCCACTTAAACCAATTAGAAGAAAAATGCTGGTAGATAACGAGTCATAATTGTATCATCTCTTTTAGTAAGTGAGTAAGTAAGCTTTAGGCCTATTTCCGACCCACCCAATGTCCAGTTGTCCACCGAGGTATAGCCGTATAAAAAATTATATGGAGTTTCACATTATATTTTAAATTTAAACCAATTTTTAATATTGGAGTTGTAAGGATTCGACCACACAAAACGTATTTGGTTTGATCCGGTCTGGTCCATAATAAATTTACTTATTAAAACCTAAAAGAGAGGTTTGATCCGGTCTGGTACAGACCATATGGTAGGTATATATCTGCAGAAAAGTGGAGAGCATCATGGAATTAATTAATCAGTGGTCAAGCTCAAGCCTACCCCAAGGTAAGCTGTTTCAACAATGTTTAGTGTATTAAACTATCTTTAACTAAAAAATCTCAATATAACAATTAAATCCAGGGATTCCTCAAGTTGAAAACTGAATATAATAACAATGTTGCTTGATGTGTAAGTTTGATTTGTCCATATTGATTAATGTGGAAACACACAGATGTCACTGCCCAAATTCCTTCTATAACTTAAGCATGACAGGGAAATGATCATATCATAAATCATAATAAAAGTGATTAATCATTTCCTCCATTACGCGAAGCAAAATGGTATTGGATTTATTTGTCTCCATCGACTATGTCAGTTTCACAAATCAAGCGGTTTATATATCTAGATTGTCTGTTCTTGTTGTCCAACAACATACTAATTTGAATTCGAGAACCAATGAAAACTTGGTGAAAATTTTGATTTATCCCTCAAATATTGTGGGAGTAGCATAGCAATAGTTGTGGTATATGATTCACGATTGAACATCTCCCAATAACTCGAGTTATTGGGATCAACTGGTTCTTGACATGGTATCAGAGCCTTCTGTGACCGAGAGGTCTTGAGTTCGATTTCCGGTGACCCCCATTTGTTAAGCACATGATATTCTTGTCTTCAAACCTGTGAAAATTTCAAGCCCTTGTGAGTGGCTTTCGTTTGAGGGGGCGTGCTAGTGTTGTGGTATATGATCCACGATTGAATCTCTTCCAATAATTCGAGTTATTGGGATCAACTGGTTCTTGCATGTGAAGTGCTAAAACATTAAACAGTTAATAAAAAAATCAAACTATGCCATTCATTGCCCCGAAAGCCAAAACTCCGGGCATTCCTCTTCATCTTTCTCTTCCTCTCCCAACGCCAACAACATCAATTCACTACCGCCGTTTCTTGAAGAACTTTGGCGACAAGATCTTCCCCGTTGCCGCCGTAGTTGATGGAGAATTAAGAATCCCTTTCTTTTCTTCTTCTTTCTTTGGGTCAAAAACTCCAGGGAACGAAAAAACCCCTTTCTCATACAAAGGCACACATAATCGCCGGAGCAAAGAGGCCAAAATCGGAAAAGGGGAAAGTGTGGTGGTTCCATCGTATTTCTCTCCAAGTCTCTACTGCTGCTTCGTTTTCCTCCGCATGCAGCACTATTCAAGCCTTCCTCTCCGCTTCGTTTTCTCAATCTCTCAACTCTCTATCCCCGCCGACTCTGATGTTTCCCCTGGCAATTGTTGCATGCTGGTGGTGGCGGAGAAAACTATTGGGGTGGCAGACCTTGTTGGAAATTTGGTTGAACCGGACTAATCAAGTCACCCCGATTTTGGGTTGGACCGACCAACCGGTTTGGGATTAGACCGACCGAACCAATATTCTAATTCCGTGAAGGGACACATCCCTTTGGCCTAGTGGCGGTTGCATTATTTTATGGATAAGGATAACCTTATGGATAAAGGCAACCCTTCATATGGATAAGGATAACCTTTCATATGGATAGAGGCAACCTTTCATGTGGATAAAGGCAACCTTTCATGAAACAATGCATGGATTCGCCCCCTATAAATATATGTGTGGGGTGGATGGTGCCACATACCATCAAACATATTCTTCTTCTTTTTTCCAAAAATTTCTAGGTATGCTTTAGTGTTCTTGAGCCTGGAACCTAAAGTGGTGATAGTTTTATCCTCGGGAGAAATTTCCTGTAACCCTAGGCTTGTTGAGGGTGGAAATATTCTTTTCGGAAAGTGAACGTTGTTCACAACTCTATCACAATCCTGGTCACCCGGTCTCGGGCTATCGTACGTATACCCTCACCCTAAAAGTCCCAACAATCGAAAAGAATAGTTTTCCGGTACGATGGATCGAACCGCTCTTTACAAGAAACCGATTCCGGTCTATGGAATTATGAGAATGTTCAATGATGGGTTTTTTATCGATGGCAGTAGAAGATGGATTTTCTTCGTACTTGTCTCATGGTGTATTCCATATCCGGAAGGTAACTTGGAAGAGGGATGATTCGAAGATGAGGAAGAAGGAGAATGGTTCGTAAAATAGAGAAATAGAAGAATGAAAATTGTCTTTGGGTAGGTCACATACTCAATGGTTAATTAGTCTAATTCTCTATTCGACATTTACGAAGTTCTAGATAAACTTGGATTTGTCTAGTGGTTTGGTGGTGTGATTTTGTCTAGTGGTTTATGTTATTTTAAACCAAGGAGACAGAATTGTATATACAATGTTTGATGATTCTGGTAATAGAGTCGTTGTGTTTGTATGTAGATGACATATTTATCTTTGGGACCAATCAACGATAAGTGATTTTGTCAAGTGGTTTATGTTATTTTAAACCAAAGAGACAAAATGTGTACACAATTTATGATGATTCTGGTAATGAAGTCATCGTACATTTGTATGTATAAGATATGCTTATCTTTGGAACCAATAAAAGATAAGTGAACTTTGATAAAAAGTTGTTATTTCAATTCTCCATGTAGGACATGGGGTAGGCAAATGTGATTCTGTGTATTGAATCAAGCGGAACAACAAAGAAGAGTCCTTCTCTCAATTTTTCTGCATGAGAAGGTACTTGCATAAATTCCATAGTAGGAATCGTAGTGCGTTAAAGACCCCAATGGATCCAAGTATGGAACTTATGGTTAATACTGGAAATCAGTTTTACAACTGGAGATGTATGCATGACTTACATGATGCTAGATATCGCATATGCGATAGAACAATTAAGTTGGTACGTGATGAATCCTAGTTCTCATCATTTGAAATGAAATAAGGCGTGTACTAGGATATGTCAAAGGCACACTGTATTGACTTATAGTGGCTTTCCATCAATTTTGGAAAGGATTTGTTGATGTTAGTTGGTTTCTCATGTTAAAGGTGATACTTCAACATTGAGATAAGTCCTCTTGCTTGGGAGAGGTGCCATAATTTGGGCCTCTAGAAAGCAAACTTACATCACTAAGTTTCACTATGGAATCAAAGTTTGTGTGGCCTTGATTTCTCTTAGGGAAGAGACATAATTGTTGAGAGGTTTGGTTTATGACATATATTTATGGCTGACTCGCTAAAACACAACACCTAACAATGGCCAAGTGTAACCAATGGAAGGGACTGCAGTATAGTGGCTCAAGTGATAAATATCGAATCCACGGGTCTCTAGAGTTACTATTACTCAGCTTCAGTTTATTATTTAGCAAACCAGATTAAGATGAAAGAACTAAAACTACTCTAGCAAACTACAGTTAAAGTTAATCTAATTACAGGTTGGGAACTCACTTAGGTATGATTCCCCCTAGCCACTAGCCAGATTAACGATTGATGATCTCTAACCTGTTTCACTTTCATTCACAATGCGGAGAATCCTTGACTAGACCTTGAGTCTCGACTAAAGGAACAAGGCCCTCTTGAGTCAATTGCCTAGAGGGACGTATCCTTCTCTAGAACAACTGATCAAGGCGTTCTGAACTAGACTCCCTCTAACGAAAGGGGTTCTCAATCGATACAAAGCAGTGAATCAACCCTCGACTAAAGCAATCGATCCACTACTATCAATCTATGGTGCTCTATTGACCTAATCAGGTATTCCCTCTCATAGAATCAAAGCAGAATCAATAATCTCGACTAAAGCAGAATTGAATCATGAAAACATGCATAGATTGAATATGAACTCAAGATTATCCAGTCAGAGTACTCATACAATCATCCAATCAAACAAACATAGCTAGGGTTCCTCAAAACCTAAGTGAAGGGAAGTTACTCCATAGAGAAGAGAGAGAATGCAGTAAGAATCTTCAGATGATCAGTCTTCAAGTCCGGGCTTGTTCCTCGAGCTTCCAAGGCGAAGAAATCCTCCAACTCCACTCCAAGAATGCCCTCAAATCGCCCTCTCTCTCTTTGGTTCGTCCCTTGGGTGTTTGGGATCCAAAACCCAGCTCTCCCTCTCCTTTGGCTCGAATTTGGGTTAAAAACAGCCATTCCCGACTCGCACGGCCAGGGTGCACGGCCGTGCACATCACCATTCTGGCCGTGCACCTCAAAACGCGGCGTATCAATTAGTTGAACCTCAGCCAACTCGCACGGCCAGAATTGTATGTAGCACGGCCGTGCGTGGCCACGCACAATCCCGTGCGTGCCCACGCACAATCCCGCACGGCCAAACTGGTCACTTGCACGGCCGTGCGTGGCCACGCACAATCCCGTGCGTGCCCACGCACGATCCCGCACGGCCAAACTGGTCACTTGCACGGCCGTGCGGGTTGTGGGTGTGCCCGTGCGACTTCCTCAGAACCTCGCCATGCGTCCGATCCTCGTCCAATCGACCCCAGACTCGCTCCTAAGCCTTCATTCACGTCCTAGGACCTGAAATATCACAAACAAGCACAACCTACCGTGAAATCGGCCTAAAACACGAGAATCAACACCTCAAACGGTGTAAGAATGGGGGTAAAAACATGTGTAAATGACGGTCTATCAAACTCCCCCACACTTAACCGTTTGCTTGTCCCCAAGCAAACCTAACTCAAACCAATGCAACTCTCCAGACCTCTATAGCAACAAACACCCCAGATCGTAGGTAGAGGACTTCCTAGATCATTTAGCAACTTACGAGGTCAACCGAAACACAAGTCATCTCATAGCTTCTTCGGCGAGAGCACTAGTATCGAGTCGGCATCATGGCAAATAGTGAACAGAGGACAAATGAATTGTGGATGAAGAGATTCTCAAAAACAAAAGATCATGGACTCACATTTTTCAAGGTGCTCTATTTTCTTCTTGAAGATGGTTGAGACCCTTTTTTTTTCTGTTTTGCTTGTTTTCTGTTATTTGTTTCCTTTTTTTTTTCTTTCAAGGGTCCCAACCTGCTCTTACCGGCCATGCCAGGAGCGGATGTCTCGAGCCTCGTGCGGGGGAAAGACATGTAAGGGGGCTGGAGGTAGTAGGTGGAAATTGGGAACGAATTCCCGTCTCCCCTTACACACTTTCGCCCTATTCGCACGGGAGACGTTATTTTGAAGCACATTTTCGAGCACCTGCTATTTTCAAAACATGATACAAGAGTCCATGACAGGTAGAAATCCACAACACCACACAATTCAAGGGTCCTAAAATCACTAATTCACTCAATCAACCAACACGATATGAAGAAGAAATGAGATTCCTTAAATGCATCAACATCCTCCATAGTGCTACACTACCTCCCTAGGTTGCATATCACTATAAAGACTGTCAATTCAAAGCATACTGAGCAGGCAATTGCAAGGAAACACGTACTTGGAGCCCTCAAATTTAAAAATTTGGACAGTGGACTAGGCTCCAAGCACACAAACAGCCAAACATTCACCCGCATACATAATCGAACATCCCCCCACACTTAAGCACGACATTGTCCTCAATGGAGGAAAGATAAGGAGGGTAGAACGAAGTTACCAGATCAAGGGTGAATGATGATGAACGGGTCAGGCGGTGCATTCCAGAAAGAGAGAGTAATCAGAACACAAACACCACACAAAATCTCACAAAGGTTGAGTTATTGACTCTAAAATCAAATAACAAAACTGACTCAACCGAGGAGAAATAGAGAAAGAGATGCAAACCGACTGGTTGGGTTGCCTCCCAACAAGCGCTTCTTTCACGTCGTGAGCCGGACGATGGCTCCTAAGTTTCGGTCCATGCTAGAACCTCCTTGAAGTTGAGGTTCTCGTCGATGAGGTGGAGTCTCAAGTCACGAGCATGTGGTGTGGCAGGTGATGAAGGCTCATGTACTTGATGCAGATGAAGTCTCCACCCTCGAGACCTCTTCTTCTCTTCTCTCGTCTCATTGCCCCAAACCAGATATGACAACATCGATTGGCCACCATCGCGTCCACCAAGAGGGACCGATGTCGATGTGGCCTTGGTCTGGCAAAGAGACACTGCAAATGGGTCCTTGCTAAGCAGTTCCTCGAAGTTTGGTGGAGATATCACATGTAACTCATGGCCGGTGCAAGCCTCTTCCACCTCAACTTCGTCCTCAGCCTGGACGCCAATCGCCTCTTCAACCTCCCTTCCTTCTTCATGTGGTATCACCCCTGGGAAATGATCAAGAACTCCTCCAGCTTCACTTTCGTCATCCTCCACAACTTCTTTCTGCACCCTTTCTTGCTCTTCTTCTTCTAGCACGGATTGGAGAGCAAGTTGCCAAGCAATTTCTTTCATGAGATCTTCTTGCATCTCCTCACTCATGCCCGCCTCTTCAAAGCTCAGTTTGGGGTGTGGGAAGGTGAGGTCGGCTACGACATGACAGGCCTGATCATGATCATCACGGGAGCTCTCCGTGACAACTTCAGTGTGTTCCACAATGCCCTTGTAGCCTTCTTCTTCCTCCTCCTCTTCTTGTATGGTAGCAGAAGGGTGATCTGGAGCAGGTTGCGCCCAAGATCGCTCAAGATCATCGACGCTCTTCTTAAGGCTCAGGAGGATCTCATCTGTTTCACGATAGGCCTGGACACACTGATCCATCCTGGAGCATGTTCTCTCACAGTCTCGAGCAAACTGCTCCATGAGTAACTCCAGTGCTGATGGCCCTTCTGGTTGTGGGAGAAATTCTTCTTGATAATGAGGTTGTTCTTGATATGCCCAGGGGTCCGGTTGTTCTCCGTAGTAAGGGGGTTGGTACTGGAACCCGAATCCATAGTCTTCTCCGCCTTGATTGCTCCACGGAGTCTCGGGGTAATACCACCCAGATGGTGGTGGATACCCCCAATGATTGGAGAAGCCATTAGGATCCATGATTCAGATCTGCACCAACAAAAACAAAAACACCCAAGTGAAAAGCAAGGGTGGAAAAGAAAAGAAACGAAAAACGCTAAAGTAACAAACTTCTGCCTTTCCTAATACTCTAGAAAGTCCCCGGCAACGGCGCCAAAAACTTGACTCGCTAAAACACAACACCTAACAATGGCCAAGTGTAACCAATGGAAGGGACTGCAGTATAGTGGCTCAAGTGATAAATATCGAATCCACGGGTCTCTAGAGTTACTATTACTCAGCTTCAGTTTATTATTTAGCAAACCATATTAAGATGAAAGAACTAAAACTACTCTAGCAAACTACAGTTAAAGTTAATCTAATTACAGGTTGGGAACTCACTTAGGTATGATTCCCCCTAGCCACTAGCCAGATTAACGATTGATGATCTCTAACCTGTTTCACTTTCATTCACAATGCGGAGAATCCTTGACTAGACCTTGAGTCTCGACTAAAGGAACAAGGCCCTCTTGAGTCAATTGCCTAGAGGGACGTATCCTTCTCTAGAACAACTGATCAAGGCGTTCTGAACTAGACTCCCTCTAACGAAAGGGGTTCTCAATCGATACAAAGCAGTGAATCAACCCTCGACTAAAGCACTCGATCCACTACTATCAATCTATGGTGCTCTATTGACCTAATCAGGTATTCCCTCTCATAGAATCAAAGCAGAATCAATAATCTCGACTAAAGCAGAATTGAATCATGAAAACATGCATAGATTGAATATGAACTCAAGATTATCCAGTCAGAGTACTCATACAATCATCCAATCAAACAAACATAGCTAGGGTTCCTCAAAACCTAAGTGAAGGGAAGTTACTCCATAGAGAAGAGAGAGAATGCAGTAAGAATCTTCAGATGATCAGTCTTCAAGTCCGGGCTTGTTCCTCGAGCTTCCAAGGCGAAGAAATCCTCCAACTCCACTCCAAGAATGCCCTCAAATCGCCCTCTCTCTCTTTGGTTCGTCCCTTGGGTGTTTGGGATCCAAAACCCAGCTCTCCCTCTCCTTTGGCTCGAATTTGGGTTAAAAACAGCCATTCCCGACTCGCACGGCCAGGGTGCACGGCCGTGCACATCACCATTCTGGCCGTGCACCTCAAAACGCGGCGTATCAATTAGTTGAACCTCAGCCAACTCGCACGGCCAGAATTGTATGTAGCACGGCCGTGCGTGGCCACGCACAATCCCGTGCGTGCCCACGCACAATCCCGCACGGCCAAACTGGTCACTTGCACGGCCGTGCGTGGCCACGCACAATCCCGTGCGTGCCCACGCACGATCCCGCACGGCCAAACTGGTCACTTGCACGGCCGTGCGGGTTGTGGGTGTGCCCGTGCGACTTCCTCAGAACCTCGCCATGCGTCCGATCCTCGTCCAATCGACCCCAGACTCGCTCCTAAGCCTTCATTCACGTCCTAGGACCTGAAATATCACAAACAAGCACAACCTACCGTGAAATCGGCCTAAAACACGAGAATCAACACCTCAAACGGTGTAAGAATGGGGGTAAAAACATGTGTAAATGACGGTCTATCAATGGCCTAAACCAATCTCACCTATTACTATCTTTTGTGATAGTAATGCTAATTTGGCTAAGGCATATAGTCAAGTGAAAATGATAAGTACGGTCGTGGGAGTATGGCACGATAAAAGCTGTGAACTGATCATTCATAGTGTTGTGTCTAGACAGTATGACCAAACTCGAATTAATTTGGTTGATCATTTGACGAAGTGGTTAACTAGTGACTTGGTGATTAAGTCTGTGAAAGGGATGGATTAAAGTCCATATAATTTCTGGTAATGGGACACCCAATTCCCCTCTAATACAACGTTAGAGGCTGAATTCAGTGTGGAAAGCTTATTATCAGAAATTGAAGCACAAAATTTGTCATCCCGAGGTATGTGCTTGTTATCCTGCATGAGAGAAGAGGATGAAGTTCAAAACTTCTTAATTGAATCTTTGACAAAGTGTATTATGCGGGTACACGAATAAAAGATTCGGCCTACGTAAGCATGAAGTGTAGCCGCTTCAAGAAACCCGGACTTTGGTTTCGTGTGCGCTTATGAGAAGGATTGGACACATGGCGGTTAATAGTGTCAAGGAGCTTAGAAGTTTGAAAACTTAAGTGTATATTATCTTCGAATATTCATATGAGTCAATGGGTTCAATCGTTACCGACACCCTTTGTATTCGAGTATTCGTCAAGTGTAATATACTAAGGTGAAAATTCAATCGTCACGACATTTTCATTTAGGCTTAAGTTTTGTTGGAAGAATGTTGTGCTTTTAGTGAATTCCAAAAATACACTAAAATGGGGGAGGAATGTTGGAAATTTGGTTGAACCGGACTAACCAAGTCACCCCGATTTTGGGTTGGACCGACCAACCGGTTTGGGATTAGACCGACCGAACCAATATTCTAATTCCGTGAAGGGACACATCCCTTTGGCCTAGTGGCGGTTGCATTATTTTATGGATAAGGATAACCTTATGGATAAAGGCAACCCTTCATATGGATAAGGATAACCTTTCATATGGATAGAGACAACCTTTCATATGGATAAAGGCAACCTTTCGTATGGATAAAGGCAACCTTTCATGAAACAATGCATGGATTCGCCCCCTATAAATATATGTGTGGGGTGGATGGTGCCACATACCATCAAACATATTCTTCTTCTTTCTTCCAAAAATTTCTAGGTATGCTTTAGTGTTCTTGAGCCTGGAACCTAAAGTGGTGATAGTTTTATCCTCGGGAGAAATTTCCTGTAACCCTAGGCTTGTTGAGGGTGGAAATATTCTTTTCGGAAAGTGAACATTGTTCACAACTCTATCACAATCCTGGTCACCCGGTCTCGGGCTATCGTACGTATACCCTCACCCTAAAAGTCCCAACAGACCTCACTTCTTGTTGGTTTTCATAGTCCTCCACCCGACGAATCACTCGCAGCGGCGGCGACAGCGACGCCGGCAGCGGTGGGATAATCGAGATGTTTATTTGCAGTGGCCAGTGGGTTCTCTTCTCTCCGCTTGCATGCACCGCTTGCTGAATAAGATGATGGGTGGCGATTAGAGAAAGAGGACGGTTGGGGTGGGATAGGAGATCGAGGAAGAGAGGATGATTGGGGTCTTGGGGAGGGTTGGGGAGAGGAGATTGAAAGACAAATGACGGTTGGGGTCTTGAGTTCTTGGGAAGGGTTGGGGAAAATTAGAGTTGGGCGTCGATTAAGAAAAGCAGAGGGTGATATACGGTTATCGGTATACCGGATAACCGCCGGTTATTTACCAGGTGGAAAACGGTATACCGCTAGCTGAATATTGGCCACCGCATACTGATACCGCCGGTTACCGATAACCGGAAAACCGATTACTACCCCTACATTTTGATTTGCATGGTTTTTGTTGCTCTGCGTGATCTACCGGTTTAATTTCAAAAATATTTTTTTTAATTTACCACGAATATGGCTGTTTAAAAAGTATTTACACAAATATTTTGTTTTGAAGCAATGAGGATGTGAATCCACGCGAGCTAGTAAAATAAACCTAGCTAAAGCGAACCCGCCCCAGCTCACGTGGATCCGTTGGGAGAGTTCTTTCTTTTACTCCACACGCATGTACGCGTAAGCTCGCGCAGATCTGTGGTTCTGCTTTCTCTTTTACGTGCACACCAGCCATGCAAATACGCGTGAGCTCCCTTTATCCCCCATTTCCTACCACCATATAAGCCGGTTCTAGATTCAGTATTGCTCACCACAAAAAACATATGTTACAAAGTAGAGGGAAGAGCTCTCTTGGTTGCTGCAAAGATGGCTAATAGGTAAGAGACACATTTTTTTACTTTGATTCTTGAAATGCTATTATGAGTTTGTTTAGTTAGTAATTAGTGAATATGTTTTTTATGTAGTGATTTTAGATGATTTGAACTCATCGTTCGGTGAAAATCGGAAAAAGTAGAGAACAATTTGAGCGTTCATTTAGTTAGTGGTAGAAGCTTTCATATGACAGTTCCATGAAGGGTGACATACCACAAATTTTGTGAGAATATAGTTCTAAGGATACGACATAATGACGAAGCAGTAAAAGATAGTGATATGTCACAGGTTTCACTTACAAACTTTCAGAATGACAGAATGGTGTTCTATTTCATTATGTGATTCCTATTGTGTATGATGATAGCTTGAATGTGATTTTCAATTTTATGCCACAAAACCCTTATTGTTTGGGTGCTGAGATACATGCCGAGATTATTCAGGGTCAGGGTGAAGATGATACATGGAGTGTGCCATCTGATGATGACTATGATGACGGAGAGGAGGAATATGAGGAGGAGGAGGAGGAGGAAGAAGAAGAAGAAGAAAGAGAGGCTAATTATCCTCCAGACTTTTAATTGCAGGGTAATGAAGATGACGATGAATTATCGTATGCTGATTCATATTGCGTAATTCCAATGCCTATTGTTGTTGGTTTCGAAGGAGAATTCTACAAGGGGCAGAGATTTCACTCCAAACAAGCCGCAAATGTGGCAATTAAATATCACGCACTACAATGCAACTTTCAGTATGTTGTGGTGGAGTCGATACCTTCAATCTGAAAGGTCGAATGCTTGAAGCATAAGGATGACAACTATGCTTGGATGGTGCAATTTGGATGTCGAGATGTTGGAAGTGAATGGATTGTGAGAAAGGCTGAGTTGATGCATTCGTGTAACAGCATGAATCAACCGACAGATCATCTTCATCTTGATGTCGACGTTATAACTAAGTCTGTCAAGCATTTGGTACGTGCCCAACCAAATCTGAGTGTTCTAACTGTGTAAGCCGAGTTGAAAGATAAGTTTCATATGAAAGTTACTTACTAGAAGGCTTGGTATGGGAAACAAAGAGCATTAGAGAAGTTGCATGAAAATTGGGAAGAATCCTACTATTATTTGCATACATTCTTGCGATGGTAAAGAGAAAAATGCCAACATCAGTGATTGATTGGGTAAGAATTCCTTCATCGTGACCAGGTCATTTGATCTTTTAGCTAGTATTCTGGGCTTATGGACATTGTATAGATGGATTCAAGAATTGTCCAGGAGTCACGGTTGTTGATGAAACATTTCTTACTGGAAAGTATAAAGGAGTGTAACTCATGGAGAGCTCATTTGATGGTCGGAAGAAGCCTTTTCCAATTGCATTTGCCATAGTGGAGAGTGAGAATACTGATAGTTGACCATGGTTCATAAGACACCTTCATGACCGATCAAAATGATGTCTACATCATCTCAGATAGACATGCGGGACTCTATGAAGCCATGAATGACATCGGAAGAGGTTGAGAGTGGAGGTGGTAAGCCTTCAATGTTATGGTTATCTATTGTTATGTATTATTTATTTTTATTTAATTTTGTGATGAATATATCTAACTCGTGTGGTTATTTATTGTGTTAGCTGGAGAAAAATGCTTGGAGAAGTTTGATCGTCAAGTTGAGCAATTTAATAAGATGGTCGTTGATAGAAATATTTCATGCGATAACTAGGTGGACCAAAATCAAATTCGTTGGAGCTTAGCACATGATAGCCATAATGGTGGACATCGATGGTCTATGATGACATCCAACATGGCAGAGAGCATCAATAGTGGTTTCAAAAGTATTCGTTCACTTTCTATAGCTTCTCTTGCGATAATTTATACTAATAAACTTATACTAATTTCAAAAAATTTCATAGGTAATTGTAATTTCAGTTCAGCTAGTAAAATCTATCTAATATAAACATCTATCTAATCTAAACTTATACTAATTTCAAAAAAATTCATACGTAATTATAATTTCCGTTCATCTAGTAAAATCTATCTAAACATCTAATCTAACTAGCTAATTAATTTTATGAAAGACTTACCTCATTTTCCCAAATTGCATCGGCACGATGTTGACCATGTGCCCAAAGAAGTACCGAATCGACCCGAGCTGTATCAATTGTCGTAGGTGGTTGCCTCATGGAGTAAGTATCCAAAATTCTAGGAGATGAAAAACAACAAACATAACAAAACTAATTAAAAAAACAAAATAATAACTCGCCGGCGACGGGAATCCGGATGGCGGCGAGAATCCTTACCTCGGTACCAACTGATGCCACTGTCGCGAGCTCGCCAACCTCTCCCACAACCCTTTTCTCTTTAGACGGCCGCTTCCTCTTTGCCGGAATGGTCGGACTCAGACACTCCGTCTGCCACTGATGAAAAAACAAGATCGAGCTAGGGCGGCTCCGCGCGAGGAAAGTAAAGCTAGGAGGAATAGAATGCAGGTCTTCCTGATCTGTGGCGAGGAGGAAGAAGAGTCAAGTGGCTCCGCTTTAGCTAAAGGTGAGACGAGAATAGCTGCGACAGATCCACTTGAGCTGGGAGAAGAAGGAGGAAAGGTGAAGCGGGTACACAGAGAAAGGGTTTCGATATGTGGTGGAGAGGTGAGGAGAGATAGAAGAAATCTTATCCTCTGGATCGGGGGGTCGCTTTTAATACACCCTCAGCTCACGCTAGTGGCGGATGCAACATTTCAAACCACCCCTATCCTTTTTTCATAACTTAAATATATAAGTATCTAATAAAAGAATTATTTAATAAAAAATCATTATATCCGAATAATTCATTCATAAATTAAAAATAACCGATTATACAATCATACTTTTTAGAAACAACTACGAAGGAATTTCATATAGTGAAAGAAACGCAAAAACATACGTTGTCTACACTATTATATAAGTCTCTTTCAATGTATCTTATTAAATAAGTATTAGCAAACTTGGAAACTTGTTCTTAATATAACTCAAAGCTGAAAATGCTCTTTTTACACTTGCAGTTGTAATTGGTAGATCAAAACTAGTGGGATTGCCGTTGTCGCTAGACAATTTCAGGGTTGTTGGGGAAAAAATCGAATAGGCATAAGGAGAAAAGAGACTCGATTAGGTCTTTATTGCAATTGGAATTTCGTTTATAGTATAATAAATTAACTTTATGTTAATTTTGGACAAGTAATGAGTTGTGTTGTAGTGACAAAGTACTCTAATACTACCTATAGGTGTTGTGTTCCATCACCAATATAAATATATATGGCGTATTTTTGTTCCACCAAAATTTACCTCTGTCCCGGGACAAGGCCCAAAGGGCCTGCCTCCGCCACTAGCTCACGCTGGTCCGTGTCTGCTAGCGCGGGGGCGCCTATGTCTTTTTCCCTAGCCCTCAGCTCACACGGGACCGCTTTTTCTAAACAAAAAACCAGCTCATGGGAACTCGCCTTTGGTTGTCATAAGAACACAATATTTGTGTCAATTGATTTTAATCCGCTTTATTGGTGGTAAATTAAAAAGCAATATTTGTGGAATTAACGCCGATCTACATTACTTCATGGAGAACAATATCAAAGATTTATTGTTTTCCCTTTTTGTTATTAGATCCAATAAACTTGCAGTTCCCAAACTTATACTCCCAAAACAATTACCGCATTAAATTTCTCGCATAAAGTCCAACCACTAATCGTGGGCATATAACATTACCACACACACTAGTTACAAACTAATCATCTAACAAAAAGAAAAACTACACAAAGAACTATTAATTACAACACTCACCCTCAAGTTAGAGCATGAATACGACGAAGTTCCAACTTGGAAAAGAGGTTGTGAAACTTATCAACACCTAAACCCTTTTTCAAGAGATCGCCTAACTGGTACGTCGAACCAATCTTGCATGAATGAATTTCATCAAAAGGCAATACGGTCTCGAACGCAGTAACAATCCATATCCACATGTTTAGTATACACATGGAAGACTGAATTGGCGACAATATGGAGAGCATTCTGATTGTTGCAATACAAAGAAGTAGGAACCGACTAGGGACAACTAAGCTAGCAAGAGGCCATCAAAGTCATAGGAGCTCACTCACAGTACAAAGGAGCACGACTTGTAGCTCCTTGGCCCTCTGTAATTTTAATAACGGTATTACATTGATATGTTATCCGTTGAAGCATGATTGCACTCCTTAATTTTTTTCTTTTAATTACACTCATAATCGTATTAACTACTTAATTAACTATAATTACATTCTAAAATGTATTTCACCCTCACCCACAAACTTACTAATTCATTTATTAACCAACTAAAAAAAGTTAGGAAATGCAAAGCAGGTGGCCCATGTGAGCCATGGCAAAATAAAAGCAACAAAACTAGCTTTCTTTTGGGATGACAATCGAACCCATGGTTGCGGGTCCCCGATTGTCCCCGATCCAGTTATGGGATGAGTATGTGATTCGGGCCTAATTATACACTTTTTATCCCCGATTCTCTTTGACGTTTGTTGCAATTGAACTCCAAAAAGGTTGGTTTTACGCGAGGTTGCTTGTGTTTTAGTGTATTTCAGATCCTAACAGGTAAAACCAAACCCGGAGTCGAAAGTTGGAAGAAAAGGAGCAAAGACCAGGCAAAGAGGTGGAGACAGCCGCAGTTCACGGCCAGACGTTGGAGTTCATGGTCTTACAAGACCGATAACTGGAGCCATGACTCGTGAAGCGAGGAGCAAATAGAAGGAGTTTTCAAGTTACTGACGCCCAGGCAGTTCAGAGTCGCTAATATCATGAATAGAGGCCATTGACCGTGAACCTGCGCAAATGAAGCGGTGCGTTTTTGTCGCGGCACTGAGTTCACGGACTCGTTTCTATGTTCACGACCGTGAAATCAGGCCGTGAACTGGGCTCGATCTTCCACTTAAAAGGAAGAAGAAAAGGGAGAGACCTAGAGTGAGAAACTTCTCCTTCTTCAGATTTTAGAGTGAGAAAGTGACAAACCAAAGAAGAGGAAAAACTAGGGTTTCTTCTCCAATCAAGGTTTTTGGAATTTCTTCCCCAAAGGAAGATTTTTTCAGCACAGGGAGCAAGGAATGCATCTTCTTGATGGTTTCCCTTTCCCTCTCTTGTGTTTTCCCTTCTCCTAGCATGGAATAGTCCCTTCTTTCACTTGGGTGTTTGTAAACCCTAGCTACAATTATATGAATGCTTGTATGAATTAAATGATTTGTGTGTGGTGGTGTTTTAATGTGAATGTGGAGGTATTATTCAGAAATGATTGTGTTGTGTGAAAGCCTATCAATCCAATTGTCATTCTAACCTAGCTTAGAGAGGAGACCTCCTTAGGTTAGGAGTTTCATTGGGTGTTCTTGGGAATTTCACGCCTCCTAGGCTAGTTTGGAGAGGAAACCTACTTAGGTTAAGAGACTCAATATTGAGATGGGGTTCTTAGGCATTTCATGCCTCCTAGGCTAGATTAGAGAGGAAACCTCCTTTACCCAAGAGGCTCGATTTCCTTGGGCATTCAACGCCTCCTAAACTAGTTTAGAGAGAACCCTCCTTAACCTAAGAGGCTCATTTCGAGATGGGTTTCCTTGGGCATTCGATGCCTCCTAAGCTAGTATTGAGAGAACCCTCCTTGACTTAAGAGACTCTACTAGAGATGGGTTTCCTTGGGAATTCTATGCCTCCTATTCTAGGTTAGTTAAAGGGCAAACCTCCTAATTCGCATTAGCACTTAGGGTTTGGTTGTGGGTGGCCGTCCGAACTCCAATTCGAGGGTGAAGTCTAACCATTCCTTAGTTGATAGGTTGAGAGGGTCAGCATTAGTGGCTTGGATAGTATCTCATTCCTAAACCTAGAGGCTAAGAGGATAGCTTCGGCTGCTTGTTAGACTTTCCTGCAGTTTATGACCCCCTAACCACACACGATCATTCGATTCTTCACATCATAATTGTTAGCTGGGGGAGCAACACCCGAGTGAAGTTTTCTCAACTAGAGTCAAATCCATTTTACCTTTACAAAGCAATTTAGTTTTAGACCTTTGTTTTCACCAAAACCAATCCGCTAGATAATGTTTCAAACAGTCGAAGTAGCGGTACATGGACCGGCCCGGGTCGATATTTAAACATACTTGCCCTATATTGCACCCATCTAAGGTTTATACTTGGATCTTAGGTGGGATTTTATTGTGATAGTTAGAGCGGGTCATTATGGTTTTAGCCTCCCTCGCCCTATACACATACCCCCCACCAAGAATATTTCTTCACATATAAAAAATACATGGATCAAATTGTAACATATCAATGATAGTGAGGGTAACTCGAGAAAATAAATAGTAGTCATGCAATTGAGTGTCCGCCCAAATCAAAACCTAATTTATTTTCCTCAACTCTCCCTTCGCTCTTTCACTTTTTCCCTCGTTTTAACAAGATTATGTTAGTTATAGTTAGTTATTACTTAGTAGATGTAAGAGAATAATGTTTTGTATTACATTGTACTCTATCTTATGGATTAATGGATGTTTTAAGATAAGATGGTTTGAACCATATTAAGAATTATTGTCTCTTTGTCGACTTCATAATATAGTGCGTTTAATGTTATAAATTAAAAAATTGGACTTTGCTATGGTGACTTGCAAATCACCGTAACTTGGACAAAACGGTCGACCTGTTCACTAATGAGGTCGACCTATTTGGACAAAACGGACGACCTCTTCACTAATATGGTCGACCTATTTGGAAAAAATGGTCAATCTCATTGTTGAAATGGTCAACAGATGTACTATTTTTCATTTGCTATATTTTTTTTTTATAAGGGTGACCATTATATTAACAGAGAAAAGAACAAAAAAAAGTTCAAGTGTTCACAAGAAATGAACCCGAACGAGACATCACAAGGGAACAGGAACAAAAAAGAAAAGAAATGAGAACAAGACACCAGCTTGATGGAACAGGCCACCCCCGCTGGTCACAGGAAAAGAAATCCCTTTCAGTTACCGAACAAAAGAACCAGACGAACACAAACACAGTAGGCCTCAAACAAACAAACCCCAGAGTCTGCAAATCAACTAAAGACTTCATTCTTGGATTCCTGCTCGGAAGGACAAGCCTGGAACAGGAGCCTTAACCATTCCTTGCTGTTGTGCTCACTAATCAAACCCGTTGCCGAGATCCATCTTAGAAGATTCCTGCCAATCTTGACAAAAATGGTCTGCCATGTATGCTTTGTGTCATTGAACGACCTGCCATTTCTCTCTTTCCACACCTCCCACGTAAAGGCATGCAGGAAGAGATGAGTAAACCAATCAAGCCAAGATGAAGGATCACCAGTAGGCCAACTCCGGATCAACATCTGCATCTCTTCAAACTGAGGTCCGCACACCCTCAGAATCTGGAGAAAAGTGCACCAAATTTTGTTGCTGAAATTGCATTCTCTGAATAGATGGTTAATCGTTTCCACCTCAGCCTCACACAGCGTGCAACGACTCACTATATTCCAGCCTCTTCGTCTCAGATTGTCATCAAGTGATCTACCTCTTTCACTAAAAGGCACTATACAAAAAAAAAATGGTATACCACTTCCATCAAGTGATCTACCTCTTTCTTCAAGCGGTCCACCTCTTTCAATAATTGATCCACCTGATGAACCATTCCTAGTGATATCATCATATATAATTAGAGTCCAATAACAATAGATATTCTTTCTAGTAAGAGATTTAAAATTAGTACAAAGTCTGCAAGCATATATGACAAGTTTCTCGAGTGAATGTTCTCTCGTAGAATTGAAAAATGTTATGCATATTTATTTCTTATGTTGCGTTACTACAAAAACAATTTTATATTTTAGGTCTCCTATTGTCCATTATTTTCCTAATGTAAGTATAAAATAACTGTGTTATCTGGTCTACTGGTCGCCGAAAGCAGGGATCATTTGCCGAAAGAGATATGTAAACCATTTTGCGGAATTGGTAGGTTATTTTGGTGGAAGCGGTCTACCTCCTCCAACAAGCAGTTGTAAGTTGATGGTAAGTGTGTCACATGTCGACCCCATTGTTAGAAGCGGTAGGTCAGCTGCCTCGAGTGGTATACCACTTGGTGGAAGAGGTCGACCACTTAAGGTAATTGTCTCATCAGGTCAACCCATTTATTAAGCGGTAAACCGGCTGACTCAAGTGGTACACCACTTGGTGGAAGAGGCCGACCATTTTTTTGGAAAGTGGTCGACCACTTGGAGGTAAGTGTGTCATCAGGTCGACCCATTTCTAGAAGTGGTAGACCAGATGACTCAAGTGGTAGACCAATTGGTGAAAGAGGTTGACCGCTTGAACGTAAGTGTGTCATTAGGTCGACCCAATTCCGGAAGTGGTAGACCGTTTGACCTCAAGTGGTAGACCACTTGGTGGAAGATGTTGACCATTTTCTTGGAAAGTGCTCGACCACTTGATGGAAGAGGTCGACTGTTTTCTCCAAGTTACGGTGACTCCGTAGGCTGAGTCCCCCCTCCCCCCAAATGAGATTTTCCCCCAAAGTACACATAGTCTTAAAAATAATTCTGAAAATACACATGTTTTATAAAAAATTTCAATCTACACATGTTTGGGCAAAACCGCTGGAGTCAGACGCGGTGAACAACATCATTGCTGGAGTCAAAATAAGGTAACCACAAGTCTACAATTTCTACATAAAATAACAATTATAAGAAATAACAATAATACAATATATTGTCAAACGTGAATTCATAATTCGAATTCCAACACGTAAAATTGAAAATAATCAAACGTCTTCATCCAATTAGCGAGTACCACCTAGCTATACATCACATATAAGTACCACAAGATTATCATCATTCACAAACATTAAACAAATAAAGACTACTATAGGGAGTAGGGCTGGAAGTTTGGTACCGGTATTTGGGATACACTGAATACCGTACCGAATTTGTTTTTATTTGGTACTACCGAATACACATATTATTTCTTGGGATCGGGATTGAGATTCAATTTCAATTGTTATCCGGAATTAGGGATTACGGAATTGGGATCGGTATATACCGAAATACCGAACAATACCGAAAAATAAGCTAGTGTGTATTTTATCCTCTAAACTAGACTCTCTCATTCACTACTACATGACCCTCAACCACCAATCTATTGTTATTTTCATAATACCAAAAAGAAAACATTAGTATTAGTCTTCTCTCAACCTCCAATTCGTCAAATTAAAGATTACCAATAACAAAAACTTGAGATGTCACCTCTCCTCCATTCTCTTATCCATATCCTAGCTCTAGCCAAATTCAAGACTCTTTGCTTAGTCTCTTTGTCCTATATTTAGCAATCAAATCTAATTTACATATTTAATTATTAATTACAAAGGTATTTAATTTCGTATTCGATAATACCGATTGGTATACCGAAGTACCGATTGAGATACCGAAATATTTAAGGATTGAGATTGGGATACCGAAATTATTTAGAGATTGGGATTGAATTTAGGGTGTAATTCGGTATTCAGGATTTTGGTATTTGGTATTGGGATACCGATACCATACCGATTTCCATCCCTAATAGGGAACGAGGTTCGCTCTCTCGACTACAACAGGAAGCTAGAAAGAGAAGTGACTTTCAGTATCTGGAACATTGAAACATTAGGTGGAGAGTTGTTTGAGATAGGCGAGAATTGAAATGTTTGGTAGTACAACTTTGGTTCCTCTTGAATTTTGAGACTTTTCTCCTTAGCCAATAATGGATTGCTTATAGATTGACCACTAAGCAAAATTTTGAAAAAAAGTTCACAACTTCTTAAGATAATTTTGCAAACACGATCTAATGTAGCCCTTCCACAAGTTGGCTTTTTTTTTTTTTTTTTTTGTTCGTTGCTGAGATGAAAATTGAAAAGTTAACTAAATAGGAATATTTTGGTCCATTCAATTCCTTCCACTTTCGAGATATGAGGTCCCATTGTTCTGGTGGTGGTGCCACCTAGTGGCTGGGGGTGTCCGTTGCCGTTTATGCTTCCATTGCGATAACAATCCGAATGGAGGCAATGGGACAAAATACAAATGTTTCCTTTTATTAGTGTTGTGTTGTCTGAGAGGAATCATTAAACAAGAAATCCTGTACTTTTCTTGACAGCGTACGTGAGACAGTCGGAGTCTTGCTCTTTCTTTACAAAGAGGAGAAGAGAAGAGCGGCAGTTTTTAACTACAACGTTTGTTTTCATCGTTAAAGAAGAAGGAAACAATTCGTGGGAGAAATTCATTCATCAGATCCCTTTCCTGCGGTGCAACCCGCCAAACCGCGGGGAAAAGGCAGCCATTTGTCTCCTTTTTTCTTCTTTCCCGTCGCAAATTCGTAGGGAGAAGAGAAACTCATATTCTTTTTCCAGCCGAATGATTTTTATATACTCCCTTGGATCTGAAAACATTTTTATTTTATAATATTGTCCTCTTCATATTGTTATTATGGTCGTCACCCATTTTCATAAATAAAGCACAAAAATACAAGCTGACGGCACAACCAACAAGGTGAAGACAAAAGGAAAAAAACCTGCCTCGGTAAAATCCAAGATTTCCCCACTTCTCCCCTAGCAGTAGCACACTCTGTTTCTCTTCTGGGTTTTCTCTGTTACACTGTAAAGTTGAGATTTTAAGCCTTCATTCCTCCAGTTTACACTCAGAAGTGTTACCTGTTTTCTTTATTTTCTAAACTTTCACAGTCACGAAACAATGGAGGTCACCTTGTTGGTTGGTTTGGGGAAGGGAGTAAGGCTTTTGCTGAGTCAAAGCTGAAAGAAGAGAAAGAAAGAATCTTGTAGGCAATGGCGGAGTGAAGGAAATTTTATAAAAAAACCCACGAGAAGTGAAAAAGGGGAAATAAATGGATAAGTACTGAAAGGAGGGATTTATTTCTTCTTCCTTCCAGAGTTTCATTTTCGGGGGTGATTTCATCAGAGGGACATGGGCGCTTTTCTAATTGGAGGGAGAGAGAGAGCGCTGTTTCTCTTTTTTTAGCCGGTGATGATGATGATGAGATCGGTTTTTTGTTGTGTTGTTTCCATATTTGCTGGTTTGCCTACGTATTAAGTTTTGGTCAAGGCTTTGAGGGTTCTCTCTCTCTCTCTCTCTCTCTCTCTCAAATTCTCTTTATAATAATAGCAGGAGAATCGGTTGGTATCTTCGAGAATCTTTGACATACAAAAGTGAGTTCCTCCTCTTTCTCCTGCTGCTTTCTTCTTCTTCTGGGCATGTTCAATTCTGGAGATCTGGTTTGAATTGGTATGAACTAAGAAATGCTCTACTGTTTCATCTCTGTTTTGTGTGGGGTTTAAAGGAGATAACTTTTGATTTGGGTTTTTCTCTTTGATAATGAGTTCGGTCCGAAATTGGAATATGATCAAAAGAGGGAAAGAAATTTCCTGATGTGGGGAATCCATGGATGGGGCTGAAAAAGCGCAACTTTTCTTCTTTCTTCTCCTTTTTTGGGTCTACTTAGTGGATATAGTGGCTTCCTTTACTTGATATGGTTGTTTGTCAAGTTGGACTTTTTCCATCACCCTCTTTTCCCCTTTTCCATCACCCTCTTTTCCCCTTTTCCATCTTGGTGTTCATGAAGTTCCTTCATTGACTCTAAATGTGTTAGTAGTCAAAATCTCTACTCTATTCTTCAAATGCAGTCTTTTCTCAGATATGGAAGCTTGTTGTATTTGCCAATCTGGGTCGGTCTTCTTTTCTCTATTTGTAGCTTCCGATGTATTGACTATGGCAGGATTGAACAGCTTTGAAACAGGTCTTTAGGATTTCAAGATAGTGTTCTACTTTGTTTCTTCAAAGAAGTTGTTTGTTCAATTGAGCCTGCGTTTTGGCAAAGCATGGATGGCTCTTGGCAATCGGGAACCCTGCTGGATTCTTTGGCCGATACCTTAGCAGACAACACCATGGATTTCGATTACATGGATCAATTGCTTCTCGACGGCTGCTGGCTGGAGGCAGCAACTGATGGATCAGAGTTCTACTACCCTGGTCCAACCGATTTCACTTTCCATCCATCGGAGATCACCAACAATGTCAATATGTCTACAACCAGTACTCCTCAAATGGGCAATGAAGCAGTAGCAATGAGGAATTCTTCACAGAACGAAGTTGGTGTCTCAGGGAGGGAAGAAAATGGAAGTGATGCAATTGAAGGTTCTAAAAGGTGGTGGATTGGACCTAAAGCTCCCGGGAGCTCAGTGCGGGACCGATTGATGGGCGCCATAGGTGGGATTAGAGACTTGATCAAGGACAAAGATGCACTTGTGCAGATATGGGTGCCAACAGATCGAATGGGGAGGCGTGTATTGACGACATACAATCAGCCATTTGCTCTTGATGGGAGCTCCCAGATGTTGGCTAATTATAGGGACATATCGATAAACTACCAGTTTTCAGCTGAAGAGGAGGACTCCAAGGACCTCGTGGGGATGCCCGGTCGAGTGTTCTTGAGGAAAGTGCCTGAATGGAGTCCTGACGTTAGGTTCTTTAGGAGCGAGGAGTACCCAAGAGTGGATCACGCTCGACAGCACAATGTGTGTGGCACTCTGGCTGTTCCCGTGTTTGAGCAACAGAGTAAGAGTTGCTTGGGTGTGATTGAGATTGTGACTACGAGGCAGGAGGTCAAGTATCAGTCGGAGCTCGAGAAGGTAGCCAAAGCCCTTGAGGTTAGTAGTGGATTCTGTACTTTCTATGAAGTCTTAGCTTGAGATTTGTAGATGTGAGGATTAGGCAGTTTCATATGCTATGTGCAAAAGCTCCCTATGGATTTTGTTGCTGGTGTTCTTTTGTACTAAAACTACCAATTTGGTTTGCTTGAACAAATAGTGTGTCATCTACTTGTCTCTCCATCCCATTGCATATGTTTGGAAAGTGTTTGCTAAACTAAGTGCTTCTTATCGAAATAGTCACTCCGTTGAGTTTATCATTAGCTTGGTTGAGTCAGCATGTCAAAATGAGCTCGCCATATCACCAACATCAGCCAATCCATAGCACAGCATGCACCAACCCTCGGCCCTAACCTACAAACCCGACTACCGCAACATTCATGTGAGCCTAAGTACGATGTCCGACATCCAACCTACCCTCAATTTCGAAAGGGTTGAGGTCGGGTGGGTGCCTGGGGTGTTGACTTGGTTGATCTTGGTAACTTGGCGAGCCTATTTAGCATGCTGACTCAACCAAACTAACAACAGATCCAATGGGAATGACTGTTTTGGTCACAAATCACAGAGCCGTTTCGCCTAGATTTTTCATTTAGTGACCATTTCCTTACAAAATCTCATATTTTACTGGTCACTTAGGCAATGAACCCTGAAAGAAAGAAGTGATTGTGACCAACAGGTTTCTAAAGTATCAAACTTTGTTTTCTCCACCTGCAGGCTGTTGATCTTAGGAGTTCTGAAATTCCCAGTTCCCTGAACATGAAGGTAAACTGATTGACAGTCCGCGGAAAGCGATGACTTCAAATAATCACAATCAGGTTCATTCTCTGAATCATATTCCTTCTTCTCCAGGCTCAAGATATTGCTTACCAAGCCGCATTGCCCGAAATCCAACAAGTCCTGAAATCAGCCTGCGAGACACACAACCTCCCCTTGGCTCAAACATGGGTCCCCTGCATCCAGCAGCAGGGGAAAAAAGGCAGCCGACACTCCGACGAGAACTACTCTCACTGCGTCTCCACGGTCGATCAAGCCTGCTTCGTATCCGACGACCGAATTCGTGGCTTCCACGAGGCCTGCTCCGAGCACCACTTGCTTAGAGGACAAGGCGTCGCAGGCAGAGCATTCACCACGAACCAGCCTTGCTTCTCCGGCGACGTGACCGAGTTTTGCAAGACGGAGTACCCCTTGTCGCACCACGCGAGGATGTTCGGATTGTGTGCCGCGGTAGCAATTCGACTGAGGAGCGTCCACACAGGTTCTTCGGATTTCGTGCTCGAGTTTTTCCTGCCAGCGGACTGCCGGACGGCGGAGCAACAGGAGGAGATGCTGAATTCGCTGTCGGTGATTATTCAAAGAGTTTGCCGGACGTTGAGGGTGGTGACAGATGAGGAAATTGAGCGGGAAGAAGCGGGTGATTCGATTGGTGGGCCTGATCGCCATGTTGGTGGTTCTTTTGGGCCTCCTCTGGCTGGTGATGGGCTCGAGGGAGCCCGGGAATGTGATGGTGACGTGGCGTCGCCGGAAGTAGGCGCCGGATTGAGGGGGAAATCGCCGGATGGAAAGGGGAGTGGTGAGAATGAAGGACGGAGTTTGAGTACTTCTGGCGAGGGGAAGCAAGTGGATAGAAAGCGTACCAAGGCAGAGAAGAAGATCACATTGGAAGTTCTTAGGCAACATTTTGCTGGAAGTTTGAAAGATGCTGCTAAGAGTCTTGGAGGTATGCAAAAATATTTCGATCTTTATGCTTTCGATTTTGGTTGTGTGCTAATTCGGTTACGAAGCTCGGTGTTGAGACAATTGAAGTGTTCACCATTACTGAATTCGGTGCACAATGTGATTCATATAAGCGAGTTTGGTGATGAAAATGGTAGTTGGCTCTTCAAAGTTCAAACTAATTTGTTGCTGACTGCTTGCTTGCCTGTGTTTTCTTCTCTTGTGATTCCAGTGTGTCCAACGACATTGAAACGAATCTGCAGGCAGCATGGGATCACTCGATGGCCTTCTCGAAAGCTAAAGAAGGTTGGTCACTCACTGCAGAAGCTCCAGGTCGTGATGGATTCTGTTCAAGGCGGCTCTGGTTCGTTACAAATTCGTTCGTTCTACTCCAGCTTCCCCGAGTTAGGCTCTCCACCGGCTTCAAAGCCAGACGATAACCCGAAGCTTTTGAGCATGCAGCCCGAGGCTGCCTACATTTCTAGTAGTGCCCTTGTAGCTGCAGTCAAATCAACTTCCTCATCATCATGCAGCCAGGGTTCTAGCTCGAGCCACTCCTTCTCGAGTGAGTCGCATCAGCAAATTCAAGCCACCGATGGCCCTTCCGTTGTGGGAAAGGAGTCGTCCTCATCCGGTGCAAGTGGTGAGGTAAAAAGGGTCAGAAGTGAAGCAGAGCTTCATGCCTCAGAAGAGCCCGTTAAGGTACAACTTCCAAGAGCTCAGAGCCACCAGTCTCTGGCAGAGCGGGGCAATTCGGGTGAGCATCCTCCCTCGGTGAAGAAGGCTGGCGTTCGGAGGGTCCCCCAGTGGGACGCAGATGCTCAGCGAGTGAAAGTTGCGTATGGGAATGAGATAGTGAGGTTCCGAATGGCAAACAACTGGAGGTTCAACGACTTGTTGATGGAGATTGCCAGGCGGTTTGGTATCGATGACATGAGCAGGTTCGATGTCAAGTATTTGGACGACGACTCCGAGTGGGTGTTGATAACGTGCGACGACGATGTCGAGGAATGTATCGAAGTCTGCCTAGCATCTGGGAGCCAAACTATAAAACTCTTGCTCCAGGTTTCTTGTCGAGGCGTTTGATGAAAATGCGTTTGTAGATATAACGTTTGTGTGTACAGTGAAAGTAGGAGATGATTTCATGTTTGGAAGGCAAAGTGTTGTTTAGCTCTAGAAAATGGTCTTTGGAACATTTGAATGCAAAGTTCTTATGTAGGTGGTTGAGTTAGCTTGGTTTTTATTTGGCCGATTCATTATTCTTCAAGGAAGTTAATAAACTCGTATGAATTCTTCTGTTGTTGATGGACAACAGATGGGACCTGTCATATAGTTTGCAGTGGCGAGTCAAACTTGATTCAGCGTAGTGTTTATTTATAGGTCGCAAAAGAAATAGAGTCGTCCATTTGATAGCGATAAAGGCTACCCGTCCCTAGTTAACTAAATTTTGGTTTTTGTTCTTGAATTTATTCCATGGTATAACTCATTGCATCTCTTTTTACTCGGTAACAAGTGGAGAAAAAATGCAGAGGCACTAAGTTCTGCTAGAAGCGAACACATTACACATATGCAAGCCAACTTTAAGCACAATTTGCTATAATTTACTTTCTTTACATTTACATGTCAGAAAGCCATGTTTTTTGTTTGATTTTACAGTGTAGTTTGTTAAGCTCAAATTGTACATATGGTAGGTTCGATAAAAAAAAAGATCACACTAGCTGATAACTTGAAAAAATTACACTCTACACAAATGGGTACTCCATCCATGGCTAAAATCATCTATCGTCTGCCGATGATCTTTGCTACTTCAGTAAGTAAGGACACACTCTATGTGCTGCAATCAGCTGTAACTTGATATCTTCTCATGGCCGCAACGAGACAGAAGGCCGGTCTTCTTGCTTCTCGACGAGCTTACATCTTGACGGTGGACCAAAAATGCTCAATACCACCTGCAAACACAGGCGTCCAAGGGCTCAAAACCCGAGCAGACAAGAGCGAAAACTAGAGTTCTGTTCCATCCGGTAAAAAGCTAATGAGTCGCAGAAGTTACCGGTAAAAATACGAGGCCGTGCAAGAAGCCTAAAAGGACCAAGGCTAGGTACATTTGGAAGTAGTAAACCTGAAAGGGCAGAAATGGAGAACTGTAGTGTTACACACGGAGGGAAGTATAGTTGGTAGTGCAATGGTGAAAGTTGGCAGAAGGACTGAACAGGTGTGAGTAAACAAACCACAAAAACTTCTGTTCTTGAGAAGCAGAGAACAATGACGCCGACTAGCTTCGTTAGAGTGATTCCACTGTTAAAAAAAAAAACATACAAAAAACCGTGACGCTCAGGTGTCAACTATGAGGTCCACCTCAGAAAGTCGGACCTTGTTGAACGAGCTGTAGAGAGGGAGTGCGAGAATGTAGAACCTGAAGACAGAAGCTCCCATTGTTCCCAGAGCCTCCTTTACTCGCTGCTCTCTGTCGCCAATGCTCACCTAATGAAAAGGCATAGGTAAGGAAGAGATTAAATTATTGCAGCAAACCACAACATGAACTGAGTAGTGCTGCTTACCGTGAAGGCGTGTGTTATATGTACACAGAACTCAACAGCAATGCCCACTGACATGACAAGGTTGACAACTGAGACTGCATTCAGTTGGATATCGAGAATTGCCATCACCCCCTGTGTAGTTTCTCACAGCTTGTTAGCATGATACTGGAAATCGCTGACAGGAGAAATATGAAGGCAAGATAAGTCGCACGAAAGAAGAGGATACCAGGAGATCGATCACGATCATTGCCAACACCAGCATAATGATTCCTGAACTCCATAAGCTGTATTTACATGCACAACGAAGACAAACAGTTAATTATCTTTCATTCATGTTTTCCTTGGATTGTTCATTTAATAAGAGAGGAATAGGCAGTCAAAATTCTCTCTTGTGAAAAAATGGCAAGAAGATTATCTACCTCCATGTTATCAAGAAACAGACGAGGGAAACTGCACCTGTTATGTCACCAAATTACATCAAATCAATGATCCAGAGAAAAACAACTGATTCACTTTGAGTGATAAGTACTCTTCAATATTTAAATCCTCCATGGGAAGGGGAAAAATGAAAACATGCAGGCGAGAGTTCCAGGCTTTTACTGACCGATTGCAATGGCAAGGTTGATCAAAGCAGTTCTCCAAATGTCAAGATATTGCTCAAAGAACATGTAAAACACTGAATATGGGAATATTTCCATCTGCAAATTGGAAACAGAAGGATCGTTCATGAACATGTCCTGCTGGCACTTGATCATTGATTCTTAATTACTATATGAAGCTGGCAGATACGTGATGGTAGCCACCCGTTCTTGAATTAAAAACTTGAGACTTGTCAACCACCATGCATACCAAGATTTGTCTAGTGTATTCTTAACATATGTTACGTGGTTCAAGGTTATAAACATCACAATAACTAATTCGTCAGCCCAGAATGAGGCCTTTCACCTTCAAAGATTTGGAGACTCTGGAACTGAACTCGCGAGCTGCTCTCAATGAGTCGACAAAGTCGCGCTAAAATAAAATTGGATTCACTAAGTTAGATGAATAATACTACTTGTAAGGGATGTTGTATAGGTAACTGAAGAGAGAAACTGACCTGCTTGTTTAGCGGAGTGTGATAAGTGCGGAAAGACGATGCTTGAATAACACCATTTTCGTAGCCTGATCATTAAACAGGCAAGTTTATGTTGACATTATTAAATCGTGAATACCCTGATTTATAAGTGAATGCAAACAATGATGTTAATTGGCAGTTCAACAAACCTTCCAGTTCAACGCTGCCAGTGTATGCACCATGACCACCTTTGGCACAATCAGCAGAAGGTAATGCATTAAGGAACCACGGGAGTTTCTCCTTAAATTGCATTGTAGATGGGCGATCGTTGTTTAGATCTGCATGACGGAAGCACTGCAAGAATTCCAGAATATGTTACAAGTTGGAAAAACCATCTAAATGCAAAAATTGTATTTCTTAATTCTTAGAATGAAGAATGTAGCTTACTGTGGTACAGTCTTTGCACAATCCACCCAACCCACACGATCCTGAACCAGAAGAACAGCAAGGAGGCTGTACAACAAGGACAAAAGATCAGAAGAAAATCGATAATTGATTCTGAATAGTAACTTGGCATTCATCAGATAGTAGAACTGAGACAAAATCAAAGTAGTGGAATTATGACCTGGTCATCAGGCGGGCAATAAGTCGCATTAGTAAACTTCCGGCAGCAACCAAATGCTTCTGGAGATACCCATACAAGAAAATCATCAAGCCATGAAGCTGCTGGCTTGGCAATGTGGCTGGATTCTGGTCTCAATGATTCTCTTGCAATCTACGTGATTTACAAAATATCATTAAGAAAAGAAGAAGAAACGTGAGGCAGACTCTTATATTAAAAAAGAATATAGCAAACCTCGTTTAAGAGAGAGTTTGAATCACATTGGCTGATGGAGCATAGCTGATTTGTTTGAGTTGATTCCGAGCTGAAGTAATTACAAAAGATTAACCGGAATATCAAGCTAATAGATGGAGAAATGTGATGCAAATAAAATACTATTACCTATAGTTATAGTTCTTGACGACAAAGTAAAGTGGGGGGCCAATTCTCAGATACTCCGAGACATTCTTAAAGTATCCCTGCAGTAGATTGGGGGGAAAAAACATCTTCAAATAATCCAAGTATGTGACCCTAAGTTTCCAGGATGAGAAGAGATCTATAACCTGAAGATAGGAGTCCCTTGGAAGAACAATCTGTTGTTCCAAACCAGGTTCAACCCTGGTAGCTAATGCCTGTAAGAGTGAGGAGATATGGAGTTCTATTCTTATCTTTTAAGACTCAGAGAACATAACAACGCTAAAAACATAGATTCTGGTATACTCACGATGCTAGCCACTGTAATTGCAGCGAAGATAGCAATCACAACTATTTTCACCACCCAAATACCGAGTATGGGCGCATGCACCTCCTAAGATTTCAACAAAGATAAAAGTGCATATTATTGAAACGAAGGAATCAAAAAATGAACAATATCAATGCAGAAGTCATCAGCATGCTACTAAGCATATACTATTGAAGCAGTTAATCATAGCATTGCAGTCTGACGATAAAATATTAAACAACCTTCATATATCGAGCCAGCAATCCAGGTCTTCTTACTCCACCAATGCCTAAACTTGTAAGTAATAAAATTTTAATTAGATTTCACAAAGAACTTCTCAACCAACACAAATTAAGATTTCAGTAACAAACTCTGTTGAAGAGGTTGCATTCTCTGAGCATAAGTTGATAAGCTACCACCTACTGGTACCTTTGTCTGAGTCGGCGTTTGGTGAGGAGATCTTTAGACAAGGAAAACAATCTACTCTCCTATCTTCTGCCCTCAGAAAGTCGAAAACTATCAGAGCAACAAAGGCAGTGACTTGTAGCAAGAAGTCCAAGAGAACAGCCAATGCTGTAAGTTGCAAATAAATGGTGTCAAGTGTTAAGGCCTTGAGAAACTGGAACAAAAGCTACATGAACGGCTGGATAAAAGTATTCTGACCAGCAAACATGGAGAACACGCGGCATGCTGGCATGGGGATGAAACTTCCGACAGCAAATGCTAACACCTCGGATAGACTGGCAAGCGTTATTGATGGTCCTACTTCAACAAGTGCATTGCTAATCCGTCCTTCAATGGGAAGCTCTAGAGGTTGCCGTTTAACAGCATGCACCAATATGCACATGTTGTCCACTCCAACCTGTGGCAACACGGAAATTCAGGATACATTAATTATAAATGAGCAAAAATACTGGGGCTAAAGGATGCCACACTATGCTTGAGATTTAATTTATACAGAACTAGGACAAAGAATGACAACTTACGGCTAAAACAAGAAAAGGAATGACTTCCATGATGATAAGAGTAGACTTTACTCCTATGGCACTGAAAAACCCCACTGACCCAAGAACAGAGAGCATGACAAGGACAACTCCAGTTAGACCAAGCAATACCTGAATCCAACCATTAAAATTAAGGCCAAAGGAAGGTAAATGTGATGCAGGATAAACTTGTTTAAGTGTACAGAAAACCATTAAGATAGTACATAAAATAGAAAAGATAAGTACCTTTGAGGAGACGTAGAAAGTAGATAAACGGGGTGTGTCGCCCAAGGTAAGAGAAATGTAGGCAAACATCACAAGATAGCTAATCTGAAATAAGGTTGTTACAGAAAAATTGTGTAACCATTTGCATGTAATCCGATATCATGAACTACCAACTTAGAAGGAGAAGTAAAGGCTGACCACTATAGTTATGGCATCTGCAGTGCTTTCTCTCTTCAGTTCTTCCTCAATCGAGCTTTCCGAGGAAAAGGAGAGAGTGAGATTTTGAGATTGTGCCATGGGCAACAATTCATTCTGTGGTAAAGCAAAAGGTAGCGGTAAACCGTATCATCAACTATGAAAAGGCCATTCTCTGCTTCTAGGAAAAATGAGCAGTATGAAGTACAAAGGAGAAAATGCTTTACACTTCGCATTGGAACAAAGACTTAGAAAATCGGAGGAATTACTTTCCTTAAACAATAGTTTTTTTAATTCTCCTTAGGCTCTAATAATAATTAAAAAAAAATTATGGCAGCAGTCTAGAAATAAACCTTTGCCAAGTCAATGAAGGCTTTCTCCCAAGCAACAGCTCTTTCAGTTTCATTCCCTTCTTTTTCAACCGCATTGTTCACAGGATATGTAATAATGAATGCGGAAGCCTGTCCCAGAAAAGAAGACATAAAAAGGTTACAGGCTGCACAACAACTCTAAGTGGATATGTTAAGGCAAATGCAAGGAATTACCTCTGAATAGTTGTTCCCAGAGAAACCTCCTAAAGCAGTACTTGGCTCAAGAGGTGCTTTGAAGGCACTCCTACAGTTATCTGCAGAGGTATAGTGCTGGAATGGTACAAACAGAAAGATAACTCAATACGTGAAATTACATACTGCTAAGTTTCAATAGCATCCCCTCTTTTGTGTCACATGCGTTTTATATCGGTTTGGTTTCATGGAATCATCTATCATTTCATTTAGGAAATTGTAACACAAACTTGCATGATAAAATCCTAATCAATCAACAAGAGACATTTCTTCTCAATATTTAATCCATTTGGAGACAGAGCTCGTAATATTACCTGCAAGCAGTATTGTATGTGATCCACTCCTGTAGCATTGTCGTAGTTTGCAGGATTCATTTGGAAAAACTAGATAGCCAGCCATGATGAGCAGAATGAAGATGATTAGACACAAGTAAAATTCAACAGCTCTTGATGGAACTATCTCATTACAGTGAGTGCAGTACACGATGAATAAACCCATGCACAACCTAAGTAAAATTAGGTGTAATTACCTATCCACATCAGGAAATGCAGATTTAATTTAAATAATGGTCCAAGCAAGAAACTAACCTGCAAAATACTTTGTGTTGCACAATCTTCACCCAGAGGTTTCAGGCAAATATCAGTCAGTGACACAATGGCCCCGGAATAATTTGAGCGGATACCATCAACCTGTTAAACTAAAAACAGCTTTATTAAGAAATTTCAAATAACAGTTTATAACATGTGAAACCACTTCACTAAAAAAAAATCTGAAACCTAAGGAAGTACCAAAGTAAAGAGATTGAAGTTCCATAATATCACGAACTAGACAATTTCAACAACTTGAGCAAATTAAGAGCATAAAACCCACCTTTTTTTGCATATCAAATAGTAACTTAATGTTGTTCTCTGTCAGAATGCTTGGAGCCTTGCCTTCCCTGGAATTTGGAACAGTTGCTATAATCAGCTGTAAAAGATAGCATGGTTAGTTTGCAGCATATTGTACAGTTAATTTAATATATGAGATGATATCAGGGCAGCACGCAGTCAATTATTCTTTATTGGAAATTGGAATTAACCGACAGCATTCCGATTAATCCTTTCCATGCCTTTAAAATACATGCATATTCAGTGTTCAAATAAAAGCATCTAAAACTAAAGGGTCTCCCAGTAATATCAATGACAGAAAAACAAAGAATTAAGTGTTCTAAAGAACCTGCTCAATTCTGTAAAATGGTTGCAGATGAGAGTCAAAGAAACGCTTCTCTTCTGCAGCCTTGCTCCCAGGTCCAACCCATAGCTGAAAAGTGAAACAATCTTAATATTTTACCAGACAAGTAAAAAATTAATTGGTGAATATAACATTCACAACATAAACTTCTTTATTCTATTTTCTAAAAATAAATTCTGCATTCACTATCTACATTGGATAGTTACACATCAAAGATGCAAGTCTTTGACTGAGGAAACTTGAACATTTGACATAAAATAATCAAAGAATATAAGCCAGCAAAAGAACTTCAGTCAAGATTCATTTGCCCAGTGCAAAAGGTTGTTCTAGACATTTACAGGAAGGCGCTGACAGCAAGAAATATTAAGTATGCATACTCAAAAGAGTACTTCTACAGAAAAGACGTGCAATGTAGCCGTCAGCAAATCCTACCTTCTCAGGCCTTGTTTCCACCTTAAATCGGATAAGACCTAAGCAGAGTAGAAGAACTGCAGCTACTGACACAATCAGCATGAGAACCGGATTTCTGGCTACCCAAGTCCCATATATCCTACGGAAAAAGACAACATAATATTTCAGTTTCTTTATGATACACCCAGTTGAGATTTGTGGCAGCGGTCAGAAACCTGTAAAACTTTGCCAAATATCCTTGGACGATTGAAAGCTGAACTCTTCTTCCATTAGGAGAAGCATCAGGAGCCTGATAATAATAGGAAAGAATAACATATCCAAATTTTGAGAAGTATATTTGCCAACAGAGCCAAATTTAAAGAGAGCACTTGTCACATAGACCAGCATGCATGCACTGGTTTTCCCAGGTGCATATCTTGGAACTAAAAGTGAAAACAGATAATCATGCCATACAAACAAGGTAAGTTGCAATAAAACCACTCATACGAATTCATAATGAAAACCACCTGAACGGGATGATTCTCAACTTTCTGAGTAGCAACAGGATGGATGTCACTACCGTCCATTCCATTTAAAGATGGCCTCATTCTAGAAGTTTGGTTCCTTTCTCTCTTCCGGTGGATGAAACCCCACCCGAGAAAAGTGGAGAGCGATACAACGTAGAGTATGGTTAAAGCAAAGTCAACGCACTTGGCCTGCAGAAGTCGGACAATAAACTCCACTAGTCAAGGGGATTGCAGCTAAATTGGTTAAGATTAAACAAGTGTATCTATGTCTGTCAAGCTTTGTCAACATTGATAGAGAAGGAAGTATAAGTCCTTATTCTACAATTACTCACCTTAAGAGAACCAATTTTAACTGAACATGAACCTCCCTCATGCTCTGTAGGAGGGGCAGCATTTGTGCAACCATTAGACAAAGGGCAATCGCCACAGGAACAGCCCAGTGAAGTATCAGCACAAGAAAAGGTGGTGACATTCATAGGTCTCATTCCAGAAGAATCGGGAGCGGTTGACCTGACTCCAATGGCATACGGTGAACCTGGTGTGTTTTGAGGTGCACGTCTACCAATAAAGGCGTACCACTCTGCGAGAAATAAACATGGTGGAAACATAGTCAGAAACCAGTTCCACACTACAAACAAAAACCACACCAATAAGTTTCCACCAACGCATTTCAGCCGTTCAGATACGTCCAGGCCATTGCTCAATCAAGAATAACAGGTAGGAGGGGTATAGGGTGATAAAAGAAGATAGAGTAAGGGATGCCATGGTCATGAGCAAATTCACCTTCGAAGTTGTGAGCACCAGCTCCAATGAAGTCTAAAGCTCGAGTGTTCATAGTACCAAACTTCACATCTTTGCAGGAGTCATATAGACCTTCACCAAACGCATCAGCTATAAAGAAATCAATTCCATCCACAGTCAAATTGTTCTTAACCTGAAAAGATAGCGGGAAATATCGAATGAAGTTCACAAAGATGAATCATTTTGGACCAGCCTCAAAAAGCTGTGTTATTGAGCAAATACTTTGCAGGAAAAACAGTCACTTATCAATAAATGTTTCATCTACAAGACACATAACCAAGCTGTTTGAATCTATTACTGTGGTCCAAGACTCTATAATGGACCTTCCGGTTCACCTATGAACGTTCAAGGAAGAAATGAGAGCAATGTCGAGATGAGAATGCAGTGGATCAGCAAGAAGCCTGACCTTGGATACAGCAGTTACATTGATAAACAAACTCTGATGCGGAGAACATGTAAGCTCACAGAACAGGTTCAAGAAATTTCTCAAGCATGCCGGGCAGCCAACAAGAAATGGAATTGCCTGCAGAAAGGATACCAAATTTCATGAAGAGCTTGAAAGAGACTCATAATATGTACAACACCACATACCATAGTAGTTACACTTGCCAGGAAATTAGATTAATAAATCTCTTACCTGCTGAACTTGGGACCGCAATGTGTCGAACTGACGTTCTGTACAACACACATTGCCGGTAATTGTTGGGCACAAGCTCTGGATCTTTTGGGACAACAGATCATCCGGCTGAGAGACAACAAGTGAAGCAGCTACAACACTTAGAGGACCTCATAGACCCCAAAATAGTAACTTTGCTAGAAAATGAGGGGGGAAAAACTCTTCATCCCCGTAATCCACCTCCACATATATATTACCTTCACCGATGGGGATCCATATGGACAGTTCAACACCTTCCCGTCCTCGCGTGCCCCGCAGATGTCATACATTGCACAATACTCTTCGGAGTGCCTTCCCCTGAAACCCAAAAGAAGAGAATCCAGTACTCACTTGCTAATCCAGGACATACTGAAATCTGATACACGGCCATCCAGCCATGGGACCAAGCAACTCACCCAATGGTACCATTGGACGTTGCAAGCAATCTGGCGTTAGACCTATCTGCAGCAATAACAGATGGCAAGAACATGACCTGCAAGCCAAAAAAAAAAAAAAAAGCAGAATTCACATCACTTTATCAGCACAACATTTTTCTCAGAAGCCTTTTCCTTAATTCTAGAGCTGTATGAAACAACAAAATAAGATTCCAATTCCTAGTTGAGATCAGCAGAGAAAAGCGAAATGGCTGCAGCGTTGAATTCCGCCGTTCGTCCATGGTCTTTAGCCAGGCTACACCAACGGAGCTTTTCGAAACTCTAGGGGAAGAGTGAAATTGAAACACATTCCTCCCACTCTTTTTTTTTTTTTTTTTTCTTCTTCTCAGCAACCAAACAACGCCGCCGCAAAACAAAAAATTGTGGTCAACCGGAGTAAATGCATAGTCAAACCGAGGCCGGAAGAATTCAGGGACGCGAAACAACAACAACCATGCAATCAATCAACAAGCAACTCTCCGTTTCATTTGCCGGTGCTTCTTCGAGTACGATAGTACCGACGGCGGAAAGAGAATAGAATTAGAAAGTAATTGAGGAGAAAATTGAGCAAAGCGGCGGGAATAGTATCTCGCCTGGAAGAGGAAGAATAAGACGGCGACCAGCAGCCGGAATTCCGAACTCCGCGGCGCCGCCATTGCCGCCGGAGAAAAAGAGAGAGGGGTGGGGAAGAGGATGGGTTGCTCGTAGAGTTTGTTTGGCTGGCCGTTTAGGCGGAGGCGAGGCAGGGCAGCACAGTGGATTTAATTAGTGGGAAGGAGAGCGTAAAGGGTGGCGTTGAATTTATATATAGTTACAGACTCGTGAGAGAAGAATGCCAGAGCACAGCTCGGTGACGAAATACATTCCCTTTTTTTTTATCTAATAATTTTTATTTTTACTTTTTGAAGTTTGGCATACGGCAAAGGAAACTGGTTTATCATTAATTAGCTGGGAAAGGGCAAATCTTGAGCACCGTATTTACGTATGTGCCATTATCTGCCAATATTGCTTCTTACGGCCTTTTATGTTGGTTAATTTTGTATTTACATTCTTCACGAATGTGCAATTCTGTGTGAAGTGTGCTTGGAACTCAGAAAGGTTTTTCTTGTATTTCGTTTTCTTTGGTTGAAGCAATAACAAAGGATTTCTGAAGGAAATAAGAACTGAAATTTTCTGAAAAATAAATTTTGAAAATAACAGTTTTATTTTCAATGATCTTTGCAACTGGAATTCTACTTGCTTGATTCGACATCTGTGGGCTATGATTTCAAAGTCTTCGTCATTATGATCATATGTAGGATTCACCATTTCATATTGTAGCACTACATTATTTGGGACGTGCCTAAGTCTCTCGCTTGTTCATGGACCTGGACGAAGATTCTGAAGATCAAACACCCAGCTGAAACTCATCTTCGGGTGCATGTTGGTGCAACATTTTGGGATGGAATTGGTCTAGAAAAATTCTCAGTAACAGAGGTCTGGAAACTTATCAGGCCACCTCAACAGAATGTAAAGTGGCATGATTTGTTTTGGAAATCTTATTGTGTCCCAAGAGACAAAGTATTGGTCTGGAAAATTCAACTCAATCACAAATACTTTAGACATAATAAAAAAGCGGAAACCTGACTTTTTATGGTACATGCCCGTTATGTGTATTAGGGATAAATGATGTGTGTGTACTTGTACCATAAGTTACTTACTCCTAGTCCTTGTTGTATTGTGTCTCTTGTATTCATTGGTATAAATACCCCTTCTCTCAATAATATTACACACGATTTACCCAAACCTTACATGGTATCAGAACTGGCTTTCCAACCCTAAATTTTTTTTCGGGCGAAGTTCACGTTCTTCTTCTGTCGTGCCTCTCTCTGCCTGCTCCGATGTCTGGGCTTAGCACTGCTTCTTCTGGTGATTTCGCCTCTAGTGGCGCCGGTGGAGAGGCTCCTCTGGTCACGTTCAATCCAGCCGCCTCTCTTCCGCTGAAGCTCACCGCCCACAACTTCCCGTCCTGGCGTGCTCAGCTTCTGTCTCTTATGGCTGGCCTTGATCTCATGGGCTACCTCGACGGCTATGTTCCTACCCCGGCTGCTATGATCATAGTCGATGGGGTCTCTTCTCGCAATCCCGCTTATACTCGTTAGTAACGCTAGGACCAACTCCTGTTGAATGGGATTTTTGCGTCTGTTTCTGAGGGAGTGGTTCCCTTCATCAGCTCGGCGGCCAACTCTCACGTCGCATGGGCGACCCTCTAGCGGCTCTATGCCGGTTCGTCGCAGTCTCGGTCATGACCCTCCGCAATCGCTTGTACGCTGAAACTAAGGGCGATCGGGATGTGGTCTCGTTTGTTCAGCAGCTCCGCACCCACGCTACAGAGCTTGCTCTTGCTGGGGCTCCTGTTACTGATGTTGAGCTTGTTACGCTCTGTCTACGAGGCCTAGGGCCTAACTACCGTGAATTCTTTGCTGCAATTGGCACTCGAGAGGTCATTCATCCCCTCGAGGATCTACTCGATCGGCTGGTTTCCCTAGAGGCTGATCTCCGCGCCGCAAAATCCTCCGCCGACTCTCTAGCCACTGCCTTTGCCACTCAACGTGTCCGTGGTCGAGGCCGTTGCGGTGGTACTGCTGGCGTGGCTTAGGGATGGCAATGGGGCGGGTTTGCTTAAACCATCCCCATACCCATCTTCAAATACCCAAACCCATACCCGCCCCATACCCATGCGGGGGAATGTTTTGCAAACCCATCCCCATACCCGTGGGTTTCGGGTACCCATGGGTAATACCCATACCTGTACATCCAACATTATTATACCTAAAACTTACAAGAAAAGTTCTAATTATAATTCTAAACGAACATATTATATCATGAAGTCAATAAAACACGGTCATTTTTTTAATATGGTTCAAAGATTATGATCCTAAAATATCCATTAATACATAATATAGAGTATAATATTTTTCAAATTATTATGTTCTAACTCTGATACATCTACTATAGAGTATAATATTTTTCAAATTATTATCAATGATTATGTTAGTTAATATAGAGTAATAATTAACTAACATAATCTTGTTGACAAGGGGGAAAGTGAAAGAGTGAAATGAGGATTGAGAGAAATGAATTAGATTTTGATTAAGGTAGTCAATCAATTGCATTTCTACTATTTATTTTTCTCAAGTTATACTCATCATCATTGATAGATTATAATTTGATGCACATATTTTTTTATGGTTGAAGAAATTATCTTGGTGGGGCGGGTATGGGGATGGGTATGGGGCGGCGGAGGCTAAAACCATACCCGCCCCATACCTATCAAACTTTTTGCGGGTTTTACCCATACCCGCCCCATACCCGGTCAAAGCGGGGATTCCCCGCGTTGACTGGGTCGGGGGCGGTCGGATACCCGCGGCCATGGGTTTGATTGCCATCCCTACGTGGCTCGGGTCGCTCAGCCTCCTCATCGCGCTCTACTTCGCCTGGCGCGTGGGACTCCTCTCGCGGTGATGGCAAACGCCGCCCTGCTCGCGTTGTTTGCCAATCTGCGAGAAGCCCGGACACTCGGTTCGTCAGTGTTTTCAGCTTTTTCCCCACAAGCGGCTGCAAGCCAATTCTACAACCACTAGCGCCGCTCCTTCTCGACCTTCTGATCCGCCTGCTGAACCGTGGCTTGTTGATTCTGCAGCCACTCATCATGTCACTCATGATCTTGGGAACTTATCTCTCTATTCGGACTACAACGGTCCTTACGAGGTCTATCTTGGCGACGGTACAGGTTTGGCTATCACACACATTGGTTCTTCCTCTCTTCTGGATTCTGATCGTCGATTGCGTCTTGACAATATTTTGTGTGTGCCTGGTTTTCGTAAGCGCCTGCTTTCTGTCGCTAAGCTTTGTCATTCTAACCCGGTCTCGGTGGAATTTTTTGCTCATTCTTTTGTTGTGAAGGATCTAAGAACGGGGGCGGTGCTGCTGAGCGGAAGGAACAACGGTGATACGTATGAGCTCGGTGGTGGTGCTGGAGCTTCTCGGTTTGCGCTGGTCACTACTCGCAATACTCCTGATCTCTGGCACTGTTGTCTAGGTCATCCGTCTGCTCGGACCATGTCTAGTCTTCTTCATGTTAATTCCCTTTCTATTCTTAAGTCGACTCTCTCTTCATGTGATTCGTGTCTTTGTTCTAAAAGTCATAAACTTCCTTTTAGTATGTCGAGTCTTACCAGTTCTCGCCCTTTGGACTTGTTGTTTTTGGATGTTTGGGGTCCTGCCCCTGTTAATTCAGTCGATGTTTTTCTTATTATCTTGTTCTCGTCGATCACTTTACTCGTTATACCTGGTTATACCCACTTCGCCGCAAGTCTGATGTCCTCTCCGTTTTTGTTGCCTTCAAACGCCTTGTTGAAAACTATTTTTCCACTACTATTCGGCGTCTTTACACCGATGGGGGAGGATAGTTTCAAAAACTACGCCACGAATTGACCGCTCATGGAATAACACATCTTTTAACCCCTCCCTACACTCCTGAGCATAACGGTCTTTATGAGCGTAAGCATCGCCATATTGTCGAAACCGGTCTTACTCTACTGCACCGTGCTCATCTTCCCCTCACTTACTGGTCCTATGCTTTTTCCACTAATGTGTATCTCATTAATCGTCTTCCCTCGTCTTCTTTGCGTGGTCAAGTTACTTTCACTGTCCTCTTTAATGAGTCCCCTAATTATTCTAAATTACGTGTCTTTGGTTGTCGTTGCTACCCTTGGCTTCGGCCTTATTCAGCCCACAAACTTCAGTCTCGGTCCCGTCCTTGTGTTTTCCTCGGCTACTCTCACCAACAGAGTGTCTACCACTGTCTTGACCCCTCCAGTCAACCTCTGTTCTTGTATCGTCATGTTGTTTTCGTTGAAACAGAGTTCCCAGGTGTCACTTCCTCCTCGGTGTCGGGTTTAGCCTCCCCGACTTCGTCTCCTTCTTCCTGGCTCGCGGCGTTTCTTCCTGCCGTCTCTGTTGTGCCCTTCCAGCTCGCACCACTACCTGCCTCTTCCTTTTTGGCACAGCAGCCTCCCTCGCCTTCACACACAACCACCGAGACGAGCACGCCAGCTGGGTCTTCCTCGTCACCTCCTATGACCACTTCATCTCAGCCAGTCCCTACCACTCGGCTCGATCCGTCGCCACATCCTATGGTCACCCGTGGTAAGAACAATATAAGGAAGCCTAATCCTTAGTATGCTAATGTGGCACAGTCGCAGGACTCCTCTCTTCCACCTCTGGAGCCTAAATCTGTGAAGGAAGCACTGCGATATATTGAGTGGCAACGGCCATGGCTTCTGAGAACTCGGCCCTTTGTGTGAACTATACTTGGGATCTTGTCCGGCGCCAGCCTCATTTCAACGTGGTTGGGTTTCGCAGGATGTTTCGTGTTAAATTTCGTCCAGATGGGTCTATTGAGCGGTTCAAAGCTCAACTAGTGGCTAAAGGCTTTCATCAACGTTCGGGAGTTGACTTTCATGAGACCTATAGCCCTGTTCTGAAGCTAGTGACTATTCGAACCGTCTTCACCATTGCTCTTTCTCACTCCTGGCCTAAATTTCAGTTTGATGTTCATAATGCGTTCCTTCAAGGACCGCTACAGGAGGAGGTTTATATGTCTCAGCCGCCAGGCTTTCATGACCCGCAGTTCCCTCACCATGTATGTCGCCTTCGCAAAGCCATTTATGGTCTCTGTCAGGCTCCACGGGCATGGTATGATGCGTTGAGTTCCTTTCTCATTCAGTGTGG